TAATATCCAAAGCAACCAATACATTATGTATTTTCCAAATCGTAAATAGCTCGTAAGAACTCGTAACAACTTTTAAATTGGTCGTAAAAGTGGCCAAATCTTAAAGCTCCGTGAATTTGTGCGATCCGTGTATGCCGCTCAAAACATGAAATAAACTGCTGAAATCATATTTTCGTTCACATATAGTACACAAATATACCAAGCTGTGAGAATACCTGCTTACAGCTGCTAAATGATCAGATACCACAATAACGTAAAAGTGAAATAATAATAATAATAATCTATTAAAGTCCACTCCAAATTTTATTAAGTTAAACCGAAAATGAAAATTCTTTTTGCCTAATTGATCGTTAGCCCAGCAGCCACTGAGCAGCGCCAGATCGACGTTGCTCTATCCCTTATTGTTGAAACAAGGTAGCAGCAACTCCCGTCTTTTAACGTCTGTTGGTATGACGCGGCCGGGGTTCGAACCCAAGACCTCCCGGTTGTGAGGCGGACGCTCTACTGACTGAGCCAACACACCGACGGATATCTCATTTTATATGTTTTCATCGGAGATTACATAATATATATTTTCTTTTAATCATGACGTGGACGTAAAAAAATGAAATGAACTGACATTAATCATGTCTTATTTTATGGATTAGTTTTTGACCGAAAGCCTAATTTGGTTTCTAGGAACACATTATATATTGGTTTCCAGGCACATGTCTGGAAATCAAAGCAACGGTAAATAAGAAAGATATACATGTATCATGCTATAAAACTGCATTACCTGACATCATACTTCCTATCGAAATAGTCATCACCTCTATGAATATCATCTATTCACGATATTTTATATTGTTCATCTAATTATGTTACTGTTGCTACGAGAAGAAGGTAGCCCTTATTGATAAAAATTGTCATTTTATCTCATATCTAAGTGTCAACTTTTGAGCGCTATAACCGTTTTGTATGATAGCAATGAACTTGAAATTTCAATATACCGTGTGAGTCCAAAAAAAGTTTACACCTAGACAATTGCTAATTATTTTTAAAATCGTCTATGGACAGTAAAATATTATACATCTTATGAAAGAGTGTTTTATCCCAAATCATTTGGTATCATTTTTGTGTGGTATGTGTTCATGCTTGGATAAACAGGAGGCGTTGTTTGCTGTACGGCCAGGCATTATGGCTCAAGGCATGGGCACACAGAAGATTTTTTCTGTTGGGGACCGGGGGGGGGGATTCAATGAATTATTGATAATTTATTGCATTTTTTTTATTTTTTTTTTTATAAGCAACAGAAGCATACACATGCTTTAACAGTCACGCAAAAAACACTGGGAAATTATTATTCAATACTGTTATCTAGACCTATTAGGAATAAATCATTGTCAAAATAATTCCATAAATTGGGGTAAAAAAATATATTCCAACTTTATGAGCGACAGTGTAGATACCAACGACCTTTACAACATTTCAGAGAATCCAGAATACAGCAGCGAGGCTCATATAACAGCGCTCGCTCTATAAACCCAATTTCACCTGTATTGTTTGATATTCATTGGTTACCAGTTGAAAAATGTGTACTCTTGAAGATATTCATGAAGTTCAGAACATGTTCATTAGTACACACCATTACTCAATCTCAGATCATCCTCACAGTATCTTCTTTCCATTACGCCTACTAACACATAGACATAATGGCAACATAGTCTTTTCATTCTCCTCTCCTGTACTCTGGAATTCTCTACCTTTAGAAATAAGAAAATTTAACTCACTTGCAATGTTTAAGACTGCTGTCAAAACTTATTAGTTGTAGTGGAATATCATTTGATGTAATTTAATTTGCAATTTGTATCTAATAATGCAATTATCTATAATTTGTATGTAATAGTGTAGGCCTAATATGCAATATGTATGTGATAATGCAAATTGTATGAATGTAATAATGTAAAGCGCATAGAGAATTGTCTTCTATGATTATTATGCGCTATATAAATCACAATTATTATTATTATTAAAATACCGATGACAGATGTGAGAGTTTCAACGATTATGTTACGTTTGTAATACATGTAGTTGAACAAGTTACGGTAGTTGCTCTTCGTGATAATTATCATCATCATCACCATTATCGGTATTGCCATTACCCTCCGTATTAATATCATCATCATTTTGTCTGTTGTTGTTCGTGTTGTTGTTCCTTTTCTTATTGGTTTAAGGCGCCTAGGATCAATTCGAGTGGCTGTAATCACTCGTGCTTCCTGCAACGCGACCGAGTATGCGTGAAAGCCGCAGTCGTCCTAATCCCTCTATTCAAAAGACGCATGCGGGAATCCCGCATAAAGAACGCTTTCGATCCAAACCACTCCACCACAGAGCGCGACCTATTTATATATTTTTTTAAAGCTTTTTTTGCCTTTATTCAGATTGTAATAATTATACAAAAATGATGAATAGCAACACAATTGTTCTTACAGTATAAACATACATGTAGTGCATTGTCTCATACATTATAAACACAGACATATTTTAAAAATATTTTCCATAAGTATCCAAACTAATATAGTACACATTCAATCAAGTGTACAGAATGTGCTATAATTCCTTTTACCGCCCTCTAGAGGCCTTGTCTACCCTGTGTTTTAACTCTCAAACTATGCAGGGGCAGCGGAACCGGGTGGCTGGGGCTTTTTTTTAGTAGACATGTTTCATAAAAGCTCCCAAAGGGATAACTTATTAAGAAAAATTATTTATCACACATTCATACAAGTCATACATTAAAGCTTTCTCTTCCTTTAATATGTTTCGCTTTGTTGTAGCTTCATTTGTCACGTTTTCGTTTCCATACTTTATTATTTATTCATTAACTTGCTTCAAGCAATATTACTCTATCTTTCTAAATTCAGGCTAAAGACTCAAATATAGCTGTATTTTGGAAGTTGGCGTTTGGTACCGTGACCTGTCTGTCCTTCGGTAAGTATTTATTTTGATTTAACATATCCGTCATATTTTTATGATTTCACGAATGTTACTGACAAATAGTTGGCTTTCAAAATTACCACAATGAAGCGAGATAGGAGCGAGGCGTAAACCCTCCGTCATACTGCAAGCACAGACTGTAATTTGATACTTTATCATAATTCCTAAAGCCTTGGACAGAGCCTAGATCTGCCTGTTTCTGGCTGTGTCAAACAGCTCTAGTACAGAGCTCCTTTTAGTCACGTTTTGCAGGGCTAGGATATGAGGAATGGGGAGGAGAGAAAGTAGGGAAGAAGCAGAGGAGGATGAGGAGGGAAATGGTAAGGAGGAGGGAGGGGAGAAGTAGCAGGGCGGGTAGGAGGAGGAGGAGGTCGGATGAGGAGGAGGAGGAGGGGGATGGGTAAAAGTAGCATGGCGGGTAGGAGGAGGAGGAGCAAGAGGAGGGGGAGGTAGAGGAGTGAATTAATGAGGAGGAGGTAGTAGGAGAAGAAGCGTAGGAGGAGGAAGAGAACAGCTAGCAATTGATTTTAAAAATATATTCTTCCCAGCTTTGCCTGTGTTATCGGATTGGTCCAAGATGGCGAAGACAACTTGTCCAGACGGGTATGGCCTAAATTACACTTTGCCCATGTCCCACACGTGTGAAATGAAGCGACTCCACAATGGCAGCATGATGCAGAGCATCCCCAAACTCATCCCTTTCCCTTCTGTCATCGGCGGGTGCCAACGAACGGAAAGTAAAGAAGTGATCCCGCGCGGCCATATAGTATGCAGGCTCCCGTGTAGGTTTTATGCTTTATGCATTTTTTCAATGGTATTTTAAAAGTATAATATCTACAACTAAATACTACTACTACTGCTACTACTATACTACTACTACTACTACTACTACTACTACTACTACATGTGTTACTTCTACTACTACTACTACTACTACTACTACTACTACTACTACTACTACTACATGTGTTACTTCTACTACTACTACTACTACTACTACTACTACTACTACTCCTACTATACTACTACTACTACTACTACTACAACTACTACTACTACTAATACTACTACTACGAGCTGCTGCTACTACTATACTACTACTATTACTACTACTACTAATACTACTTATACTACTAATACTTCTACTACTAGTATACTACATAATTTCTACTTCTACTTCTACTACTACTACTACTACTAACTACTTCTACTAATCTAACCCAAACCATACAACTATGACTAAATAAAGCCAGGAACAATAAACGTGGGAGAACAATTAAATGGTTGGTGAAAATCTGAAAATCATCAGGCAAAACAGTGAATTTGAGAAGGGGCACTGCCACCAATGGAGGGGTATCCGATGGTGTATAGTCTTCATGGTCTTTGATATATATTTAAGCCCCTGTAAAAACGGATTATTATAAGTCTGCTTATCTTTTTTATGTTAATTTGTCAAAAGCCCGAAAATATACCTTTTTCACATCAAACAGGACAAAATAAAGTGCTAATTTGTATATCAGTGTTGAGTTTTATCCCTTTTATGACTTTTTTTCGCAGATTGTGGCAAAAACCTCTGTAAAAACGGCTGGTGTGAGGAGACTATGATAGGCTACAACTGTAACTGCTCAAGTGGGTTTCAAGGGAGGCACTGCGATGAACGTAGGTGTAATATAATAGGCGTACCGGGGGAACAAAGACCATGAACACACTTTTTACAGGGTGTAAACAAATTTCCCGTAGTAGTTTTTTTGACTTAAACGCAGTGTTGATATTTCATTTCCTTTTGAAGGAGCATTGCCCGTCAATTACTTTAATATATTTTTGCTTACAAGTTTAACGACAACGTTTTTCTTGTTCTTCTTAGCACGTTCTTTGTCTCTGTTTGTCTGTTTCCCAATCATTCCCTGACTCTTGCTCCTCCTCCCCCCCCCCCCCCCCTCTGCTCATTATTTTTTTCCTTTTAATTCCATTCAGAGTCGGTGACAATTGACGCGAAGACCAAGTCCGCGATGGGCCTAACGGCCACGATGCCGGAGCGATCAGACGCAACGACATCAAAAGAAACCGCCTCCGGTAAGACTAACATTGAAATATCGTCATGTAATTATTATCCAATTGGGTCTAGCCACTTAGCCCCATATATCTCTTTTTCTCTTTCTCTCTCTCTCTCTCTCTCTCTCTCTTGAAAGGGGGGAAGTGCCCGTCATTTTTTAAAATCTTGTTTTGCCTACAAGTTAAACAACAATGTTTTTCTTGTTTTTCTTCTTCTTCCCTCTTCGCACGTTCTGTGTCTCTGTCTGTTTCCCTATCATTCCCTGACTACGTTTCCTTTTCCCCCGCTCATTTAATAATTTTATTTGGTTGTATTCCTTTCAGAGTCGATGACAACGGAAACGAAGACCAAGTCCGCAACGGACCTAACGGCCACGATGCCGGAGCGATTAGACGCAACGACATCAAAAGAAACCACCTCCAGTAAGAGAAACATCGAAATATCGTCGTGTAATTCCGGGGTGTAATTATAATCCTTATGGGTCTAGCCACTATAGCCCCATTTCTCTCTCTCTCTCTCTCTCTCTCTCTCTCTCTTCATTCTCTATCAGTCTTTATCTGACTTTATTTTCGGTCCTTTCCTATCACGGGCGTCGCTAAAACATTTATTGAAAGGGGGCAGGCTCATAGCTATGGGGGCACGTCCCTCCAAACAATTTCCAAGATCGGTTGAACTTTTGTAGACCCCTCCCCAGGACGTCGATCAATTACATGTATGTATCCCCCCCCCCCCTCAAAAAACAAACAAAAAAAACATCAAACTCTGGCTACGGCCCTGACGTGACCTTTCTCTCTCTCTTCATCTCTCTGTCAGTCTTTATCTGACTCTATTTTTCGGTCCTTTCCTATCACGGGCGTCGCTAAAACATTTATTGAAAGGGGGGACTTGAACTTTCTCTCTCTCTTCATCTCTCTCTCTCTCTCTCTCTCTCTCTCTCAGTCTTTATGTGACTTTGAGCATGGATACATGAGTAACAATGCAATTACGTCAAGCATTGATTATAACTATTATAATAAGTCTAGCCACTACTACTCTCCTCTTCTCTCTCTCTATATATATATCTGTCTCTCTGTCTCTATCTCTCCCTCTCTCTTTCTCTCCCTCTCCCCTCTCCTCCCCTCCCCTTCTTTCATTCATATGAACGAAAATGTAATTGTAAGAAATAACATTGTGAATTTGCCAATATTCACGGTGGTAAGCAACGTTTCTTTTAACATTGATTATTAAAGCTTTAATTTGTTTTATGTCTTTGCATTTTTTTTTAGTATCATTATTTTCATTGTCATTGTTATTTTTATTTTCGTCATGATCATCATCATCATTATTTATTCTTCCCTTTATATTTCAGTTTCTACCTGAATAATCAATTAGAATTGAGTAATTTACATATTGTTTCATCTTCTCAGCATGCTCATCTCCTCCGGTGGATTGTGAATTCGGCGGGTCGTTCTACAATTTCAGCACTGCCAAGATGAATCATACATCTGCGATTTCAGCTTGTTCCCAATACGGATCCCATCTGGTCTTCATCGAGTCGCAAGAGGAGCAGGACTTCATCGTACGGGTTGTCAGTGAGGACTACTGGATCGGGCTCACCGGCTCAAGTCTCAGTGAGGCAAGGTGGCTAGATGGATCAAGTCTAACATATAGCAATGTTGACGTCCGTGACGGCTATTCGTTCAATGAGAATGGAAGGTGTTTTCGAAATGTGTTCAAGATTCAATATAGTTGGCATGATAGGGATTGCTCCTTCGAATTTAGATTCATATGCGAGAAAGAAGTGGGGATATAAAATTGGATTTGTTTCTTTCTATTTTGCATACTACCTGGTTGCACCATTGATTGCATCTGAACACCCTGATGGGGGTAGCCTTTAAACAAGGCCACATGCCTGATAGACGCCGAGCGACTAAAAAGAGACTAATCGCGAAAACCTGAATGAACGCCAGTGCGAATTGTCCAGACCTGACATTCGTCATTCGGTCGCGCGTTCACTCCGGGTATCTAGACTCATCTCAGCCGCTTAGCCAGAGTCAACGAGGCCTTGTCAAAAGGCTATGATGGGGGCAAGGGAATACCCACCCCACCCCCAAACAAAAAGAATCAGGTTTTCGTTCTTTAGTCATTGTTTGTATAGATCTACCAGAGCTTTAGGAATGTCCGAGTTTATCGTTCCATGCATCAATTTTCACATGAACGGCACTGAAAATATTGTTACAGACATTTTTTTTTTTTTTTTTTTTTTTTTCAAATTCAGTAAAAAAAACCCACTAAAAAACAGGTTATAAACATTTACAATGTACATATAAAATCCACTTAAATATGTGAAACAAAGTAATCCATTTGAATACAAATAGTTTGAAAAAATGAAATTAAAGCAGTAAAAGCCTATGTGGCTTGACAAGTTGATACACCCATTATAAAGAGTGAAAAGCATATAATTTTCAGGTAACCGACGGTTACATACTAAATTACATTTAACTTAACACATAATGAGACAGTTAATAGCTCTTGTACTAATTTTTAAAAGAATTTCCAAATTGAGTATTACGTATTAAGGGGGATAATGTATTCCATATTATGGGACCAACGAACCGAATAGACTTAAAAAGAGAGTGAGATGTGACATTTGATTGATGGAATAACTGGTTGTGTCTAGTATTATAAATGTGGACATGGACATTTAAAGAAAACATATTCATCAAGTATTCCGGTAATGTATCTATAAAAAAGGAACGATGCATAAGTATACCCATTTTTAATCTATTAATATCAAAAACGTTCAGCGTTTTAAATTTGTAAAAAATATATATATGAAATATATGAGATGTTAATTCATCATGTTTAACAGACGGAGCACTATCCATCTTCACATTCATGCAATTCAAAAATAATCATATAAATGATTAGCATTAGTGACGGTTTGTTCTCTTGTGTTTTCTAGAATCTCATTTTCATTGCAAAGATATTTTGTTCAAATTTCATATATATATATAAAATAGATAGTGCTTCATGAAAAGATGAAACGTCAAAGATATTTGATTACAACATAAAAGTGCATTTTTTCAAGGGGGGGGGGGGGGTTTAAAATCGGGCCCAAAATTTCGCAACGAAATCGCACCGGCCGAAAAGTAGGTTAGTGGGGGGTGGGGGGGGGGGGGGGGGAGTAAGCGGACACTTTTTTTTTTGGAGTCCAAAAAAATCGCAACGACTCAGCCAGCCGTTGAATAAGCGGGGGGGGGGGGGGGAGGGGGGGGGGGGGGGGGGGGGTAAGGGGACACTTTTATTTTATTTTTTTTGGTCTCGAAATTTTTCTTTTTTTTTGGGGGGGGGGGGGGTAAGGTAACCTTTTTTAGGTCTGCCATGGCATTTTTTTTTTTTTTTTTAATAATAAAAAAATATAAAAAAATAAAAAAATAAACCAAAAGGGGGGGGGGGGTTAGGGGGGGGGGGGTTAGGGGGGGGGGTTATACCAAAGGGGGGTTCAACCCCCCCCCCCCCACCTGCGTACGTGCCTGGTTTGTGTAGTAAAGTATTTATAGCGTAGGTAATATATAGATACATACATATACATGTATACATATACTTACTTATATTACACGTATACGTAGATACATATGCATATACACCCACATATACATATACCAGGCGCGTCGGAAGCAAAATCAGCATCACCACGACTCTTTAGCCGCGCAGAATGTTTTTCAAGGTGGAGTATTAATGATCAGGTAGAGCGTTGCGAGCGAAGCGAGTGGAGCGTAAATTGGCGTCGAGTCCATGGGCTTTGCGCCGGCGGGGGTCAGGGAGCGGAGCTCAGGGGTTTTAGGCATTAAATTACGGTCAGATAAGCAATGCCGATACCTTATTTGTGACACTGGCAGATCGCTAATTGGCGCGGCTTCCAGGTGACTGATCCCCATAAAGATCAGGGGTTTTGAAGCATTTAATTATGGTCAGATGAACATCCAGGGCCCGCCTTAGGGCCCTTGGTGGGGTCCAGGGGCGGAGCTCCCGGAAGCTCTGGGTTTTAAGCATTTAATTACGGTCAGATGAGCATATTTTTATACCTTATTCGTGACACTGGCAGGTCAATATAATAATCGAGGGTAAAGCTAGGGGGCTGAGCCCTATGTAACTCAGGGGTTTAAGGCAATACTTACGGTCAGATGATATTCCAGGGGCCCGCCTAAGGGCCCTTGGAGGGGTCCAGGGAGCAGAGCCTCTGGAAGTTAAGGGGTTTCAGGCATTTAAGTACGGTCAGATGAGAATCCAGGGGCCCGCCGTAGGGCCCTTGGAGGGGTCCAGGGAGCATACTTTGCCTTTTCTTGAATTACTCTTATGAAATGATGTCAGTCGTTATATAAGGCTTTATGATGCCTTTTCTTGAAATACTTTAATGAAATGATGTCATTCATTATATAAGGCTTCATGTTGCCTTTTCTTGAATTACTTTAATGAAATGATGTCATTCATTATATAAGGCTTCATGTTGCCTTTTCTTGAATTACTTTAATGAAATGATGTCATTCATTATATAAGGCTTCATGTTGCCTTTTCTTGAATTACTTTAATGAAATGATGTCATTCATTATATAAGGCTTCATGTTGCCTTTTCTTGAATTACTTTTATAAAATGATGTCATTCATTGTATAAGGCTTTATGTTGCCTTTTCTTAGATTACTTTTTCGAAATGATTTCAGTCGTTATATAAGGCTTAATGTTGCCTTTTCTTGAATTACTTTTATGACATGATGTCAGTCGGTATATAAGGCTTAATGTTGCCTTTTCTTGAATTACTTTAATGAAATGATGTCATTCATTATATAAGGCTTCATGTTGCCTTTTCTTGAATTACTTTTATAAAACGATGCCTTTTATAAAATGATGTCATTCATTGTATAAGGCTTTATGTTGCCTTTTCTTAGATTACTTTTCCGAAATGATTTCAGTCGTTATATAAGGCTTAATGTTGCCTTTTCTTGAATTACTTTTATGACATGATGTCATTCATTGTATAAGGCTTGATGTTGCCTTTTCGTGAATTACTTTTATAAAATGATGTCATTCATTGTATAAGGCTTTATGTTGCCTTTTTTGAATTACTTTTATGACATGATGTCATTCTTTGTATAAGGCTTTATGTTGCCTTTTCTTGAATTACTTTTATAAAATGATGTCATTCATTGTACAAGGTTTGATGTTGCCTTTTCTTAAATTACTTTAAAAAAAATGATGCCAGTCATTATAAAAGGCTTCATGCTGCCTTTTCTCAAATTACTTTTATGAAATGATGTCAGTCGGTATAAAAGGCTTAATGTTGCCTTTTCTTGAATTACTTTTACAAAATGATGTCATTAATTGTATAAGGCTTTATGTTGCCTTTTCTTAAATTTATTTTATGAAATGATGGCAGTCATTATATAAGGCCTAATGTTTCCTTTTCTTGAATTACTTTTATAAAATGATGTTATGCATTGTATAAGGCTTTATGTTGCCTTTTCTTAAATTACTTTTCCGAAATGATGTCAGTCGTTATATAAGGCTTAATTTTGCCTTTTCTTGAATAACTTTTGTAAAATGGTGTCAGTCATTGTATTAGGCTTAATGTTGCCTTTTCTTGGATTACTTTTATAAAATGATGTCATCCATTATATAAGGCTCTCATAAAAGTTTAAATAAAAACAAAAATGGTTATAGTGTGAAATAGTAAGTAATCTAAAAAAAGGAAATACTCGGTGTATAATTTTGTTACTATAATACAGTGTGTCTCAGATTTTGTGAATATATATGAGGTGTATAATAAAATGCCATACTTTCATAGAGTAGAACAAATATGCTTTCCAATGATACATTGATTACATTAATCTATACACGCTTCACTGAGCAGCCCTCGCAGTGCTGAAACGTGCAAGTGAATAAGAAAAGCAATGCAATGCAACGATCTTTGATTTGTCATAAACACTTGGTATCAAAATGAATAATGCAAATGCTGTAAACTATTGAAAAACAATTTTGTCTTAACAATCGCAGACATTTATATTCGATTTTGTTCATTCGTTCACAGCTTGTTTATATATATTTGGTGATGAGAAAAAATTAAGATTTGGACTAAGTGATTTCATGATGTGCTAAAAATTGAAATGATTACGTTTATTGTGATTCACCTCTCTATTCAAATATAGTACTTTGACAATCATATGTTGAAATGCGTTTAATTATCCAGGCTAACGTGTTTCTATGAATAATACAACTTTTTTCTTTTTTTCCCGTTACCATTTGTTGTTCTTCTTTGGAAATGAAATAATCATGAAACGGGTGAGCCCGTACGATATAAAAACAACAGGTACTTGCCTTGATGCTTAATTATTTTGAGACCTGTAACAATATGCCTATATATATAAAGTAATCTTTTGTATGTAGATAACTTCAACTCATATGTTTGATGTTTTCGATTAGTTACATCCAGTCTTACTTAATTCTACAAATATTCTTTTGTCATGATTGTGTCAAATTTGCAATGTTTTGTTTGTTCATATTGCTCCGATTGTCTCATTTTCGCTCGCTCGATCACTGCAGCACAAACATAGCTCGTTCGACGTCACTACCAAACTAGCCAATCAGCTGTCAATGACGTCATATTGAATGCGGCGGCAAATATATTTGTGAAATTATCGAGAAATTGACTATTTGTAATTGCAAACTAGTTTTATTTTTTGATGGAAAAGCAGCCATTGTTATCTTGACATTCATTTAAGTCATCAGAATAGGGTAAGTTACTTCTCAGATGATTCAAGAGGTCCATTTTGTAGATAATTTTTTAATTTCTTAGAATGTTCCACTGTGTTGCAGGGTACCGGGTGTATGCCATTGGTTGTGATGTGTTCGCGCGCTATAAGTACAGGCCACCGCGCCGTCGGGTGTATTCTCGTACTGATCACTATGAACATGACGGACAATGAAAGCGGACAAAATATACAGTTCCTCAGGTAGACAAAGGAACATCCCTTCATTGCTATTATGTAAACATGTGTAGAACAGTTGTCACATGCATATTCACCTGTTCTACACATTTTCACATAATAGCAGTGAAGGGATGTTCCTTTGTCTACCTGAGGAACTGTATATTTTGTCCGCTTTCATTGTCAGTGGTGTTCATAGTGGATGTAGGTGCAAAGCTAGAATGGCTACCACGCCCACTTCCCTCTCTATGCCTTTCTGAACATTCCTTTCCTTCTCAATACAATAACTTTCACCTGCCTAAGTTATTCAAACCATACTGCCTCGCCACTTTCATTACGTAATCATTAAAAGGATCCGCATATACAACATTTTCCTGCTATACGTTGTACTGCAGGAAAATACAAATCTCCCTGGTATACCTTACAGTCCAAACGATAAATATGTGCCTTTAACGAAGCAGGCGACAATCGGCGTAGCAGACGACACTTGATAGTAATTTTGTATGTGAGATTGCTTTGCTAAATATAAATTACTTTGTTAATAAATATCAACTGAAATTTCTTTTACATTTCTTTAAACCATCATTGATATTTAATAATTCATGAGTGAGTAAAAGAAACATACCAAACTATATAATTATATGAAATACTTGGTGGCAATTAGGGGATTTTGACGTGATGACCGATTGCACCCCTCTGTTAATAACCGAATAGTCCATGGTGTGTCATGAATATTCATGTTCTTGCTTATCTCGGCTAAATGTTTGCTTTTACTAAATTGAAAAATTACGGTGGGGGGGTTGGATGAAATGGACATAATGAAATAGGCAGAAGTGATCTATGATAATTCATGCTTTTTATGTTTCGTGTGCTCGACCTATAATCTTCCAATCGCTTGGCAAACTGAGTCAAAAGTTAGACTTGTTTCACATGTGTATTATAGGCAATGACGAGCTTGCAACCTATTTTGAAAAATTACGGTGGGTGAACTTTCAAAAGTCAATGAGACATGAGGGCTCAAATGAAAGAGCTAGTGATAACGTACGTCGGGGTGAATGTGCTTTTCGTTTAAACAAAAAATGAATTTTTAACGATTTTTTTAAAAAACGTCCATAGGCTAACATGTTAGGCTGCTGACTCTGACCATGCTCTGACGATAGGGGGCGTTGTGAAATGAGACTAAACGGAGCAATATGTACATATTTGTAAAACTGCAAAGTAAAAAGAAAATCAAACAGAAATAAATCAATCAAATCAAATCAAATATAGTGTGTAAAATTCAGTTATGAATGAAATGAAAAAAAAAGCAGGGAAATGGTTTTAAAGGTAATACAAAGCCAATAGTTTGTGTATATATTTCATATTGATTGCCAATGGTGTTATTTTTTCTTATTGTAAAAAACAAAACAAGTTGGGTTAAAAAAAATATATTTATCATTAAAGTTACATGTATGAAGTACGTTTTGTACAATATTACCATAACGACATTAGATGACTATTGCATTTTGACATTTCACTGTTATATTTTCATACAATTCCTTGTGCAATTGATTAAAACGGTGAAATATAATTATTGTTTTATTTCATTGTCTTTGCAGCATTTTTGTTTAAAATCTGAGAGATAATATTCATGAATTTAAAACATCACTGTATTGTAACATTTATGTCGAGGATCGCATCTAATCTCATGTTTCCAGATACTTTTGAAGTATTTTGCATGGTGTAAACGTGTATATTTGACTGTAGAAAAGGATGAGAGAAACACATTTGTGCCTCTTTTATATTGGCTTCATTGATTCTTTTTAAATATCTAATAAAATAAAAGCAGGCTGCTCTGGTTGATTGAGATCGAGTCTACATTTTGTTTGTCCTCTGTAGTGCCACAGTACTTTGAAATTGAATTCATGTTTTCCCTGGACTTAGAGTAACAATAAGTGACACAAAAAACACACTTTTGCATTATACCTTACTGTATTTTTATTCTAAAAAATATTTTACGACAGAGTCGCCCGAAACAAACACATGTACATTATGTGACGAAGAATATATAAAACAAAAATATGTGTGCATAGCTTAAAAATACAAACCTGTTACGTATATATTGTATATATTCTTCTTTTCAAAAACAAGAAAGTCTAAGATGGTGACAAAGTATTCTGTACACTGAGTTCACTTACAAAGTTACAAAATACACGCTTAATTTACAAGGCCCGACGATGGGGGGTCTGGTATACCTGAACATCCCCCCCCCCCTCACTCACCCTCACTCTCCATCCAAACATTTTTTGATATAGCAGCAGGGTATCAATCCATCCAAAGGACCAAGATTACCAAGAAAAATAAAAAAAGATACATCATTTCTGCTCATTTCATGAAATGTTTGTCCAAGCATATGCCCAAAAGACAGGGAAGACAAAAAAGGGATCCGGTAACTTTGTCTCAGATTCTGAAACGAAATTCTGGATTTAGCTCATGATGCAATGATAATTATAAACCTTTTGGTCAGTCAGGAACCCCATGACTTTTACAAGCCGATCGCCTGTCTGATTATCAAGATATTTATGATTGGAATTACAAATTTTGAAAACCGTTCGCCTGACGGTTTTCATAACACTACAGTCTATTGGGGAAAACGAGTATGGTAAAACCGGTCACTCAAAGATTTTTACTTTTTTGAGGCACTTCTTGATCATTTTGAAGCGCAATTTTTTTAGGGCTTCAATATAACACCATATCACAGACACTGATAACACGTAGGGCTGTGTATCTCAGATTTAACATTGTTAAACGATCTCTTTAACAAAGAGAGGTGCTGGGAGGGTGGTATTTTGGGGGGAGCGGTGTTTGCCCCTACATTTTCATCGGCTCACAGCTTACCAATATACTATTCAAGCAAAAAGAAGAAAACAATTAAACAAATTGAAAAAATCATAAGCTTTTCCCTAGCATATTCTAAATGTAACTACAAGTATACATTCTTAATTATATAAAAGACTTTCTTCTAAGAAACTCAACACACAAAAACAAGCGAATAATAGGTTATTATACATCACCATAATACTAGAATTCACATAAATGTGTCAAGTACTTTTACTTTTTTGTATTCGTTACATTACGAACTAGATAATTAGAATGTTCATTTTTTTTTTAACAGATTTTCTTTTTCGTGGTTCATACATCATCACTATATTTTATACGTACAAAGTGCCTTACGAACTATGACAAACAAGCCAATGTAGACATACATATCATATACCCAACAATGTGTGCTTATAATTTTTCTCAGTACAGATGTATGTTGAACAAATTGTAATACCTATATGTAATAAGCTAAAGTAATCAGTCGAATCAACCTGTTTTATATGCCTGTTGTACTCTGTAGACCAATTACAAATATATTGTTAAGTTTTATTGTTTTACTATCATGTACAATGCAATCCCATGTACATTATTTAATTTGTTGGAAATGGAAATAAACGAAATAGAAAAAGGAAAATAGTACTCTGAAGAAAAAAATCCCTTTATATTTTATGTTAGTGATAGAGGTATGTTAATTATCATAACAGACATAACTAGGGCAAGCCATTGATTAGTTCCTATAAACATAGCTGACTGTTCACCTAGAGTTCAGATACCTATGCAAAGCACCAATGAAAAGCGTTCACTTGGCGTGATTTCAATTTGTTGTAACAGCTAAAATACTGTGACCTGCCGCTGAAATCAAAGTAAGCAGGATTCCATTACACTACCCAATAAAGCCTTAAAGGGATTTGGTAACATTGTTCAGATGAGATAAAATGGTGCTAAGGTAGTGACTTCAAAGCTAGATGTACAATGAAAGATAATCTGACATTTTTAGTGAAAACAGACCATTATTAATAATAACAATTGGGAAACACTGGTCTGATTAATTCCTTAATTCTCCCAACTACATCATTACAATTTAATTACATTTTAGGTGAATGTAAAACGTCACAAAGCAATGAATTGGCTCTACATACTATTCCAAACATTGAAGTGTTGACAGATTTTTAAAAACCTGTCTTGGTTCTTATTTTTACAGAAAAACAGTAGAAGGAATATAATAAGTAATATTTCATTTTTTTCATCAACCTTCAACAATGTTACCAAGTCACTTTAAAGCACCAACATAGGTAATTTCAAAACGCAAACAACACAAATTCTTCTGCCCCGTTGATATCACTTCATGTAGGAAATGGACCATTTTCAGCGAGCTTCGTGAACTTTAATGAATAAACGGGCATGTTCTTTTTTTTTGGGGGGGGGGTGGTTGGAAATTTTAAAAAAATATGCCTTGTTGAAAGTGCAAGAAATTTCATGAAAAAGAGTCACCTTATTTGCATTTTGTTCACCAACATGAAAACGTATGTACAATGTTTTAGGGTACTTGGTGTGAACGTTTACTTGTACTTGAAACGCCCCTAGTAGGGTTATATTTAAACCTTATTTTGTAATGGTTTTCACGCGAACGGGGCTAACATTTTCTGGGAAATGTTTTTGAAAGTTTGTAGAATTGAATTAAATATCATATGAAGTGATACCACGGGGGCTTCCTCGAATTGACAGACTCGTAGACGAGATATAAGCTCTCCTCCTAAGAGGATATACTGAAGACAGCAGACTGACGCCTTCTGTGTTGATGTGGGCCGTTGTTAAAATGACGACTGGATCAAATAAAATTGATGAAATTGGCTCCTCCTGATCATTAAGGCTAATAAAGGTTGCTCGACTCATCTTGTACTTCAGACGTCTGGGGTCTGTACAGGGACAGGCTCTGGAGTGTGTCAGATATGATCACAGGATAAGAGCATCAAATTTAGCATGACATAATCGTACTCGTTTCTACCTAGGGGAGAACCCTCGATTCAATGAATTTTTTATTTGTTTTGATTGGGTTAAAATCTCTCTTAAGTACAATTTTTCATTTTATAGAAAAGAAGAAAAATATCCTGGCTGTCTCGGTATTAACTTATCGAAATGGCAACAAAGTTGCTAATTTAATTTATTTATTTTAATTAATTTTATTTCCAGGCAAGTTGATTACATACAAAATATCACAAGGTTGAAAAAATGATATAACATAAACATAATGATATTTAGCACCAGCTAATGCCTGAGGATCACCCAAAAGAATTTAAAAATTATGTCTAGAGGTTCTCCACATTGGCTGGTGCAAACATAAAACAAAATATAAAGATTAGGTCAACATAATTTATAAATGAATGTGTACCTAAAATTAACCCTCATATTATTCACATATGACGAACATCTAATTGATAAATGACCGACGATCCCTAGATCGTAACTAAAAACAAAAATCTATTATTTACTTGTGTTTGCAAACTTTAGCTGAACTGTTATTGCAGTATTCTTTTAAATGTCAGAGTTTCCATTTAAACATTTGCATTACAGTTGGGTTTTGAAGATGAGGCAGACAAAAAGTATAACAAAGAATAATTTTTTAAAGTTGTGAAATTGAAGCTAGCAATCATTTCTATAAATTCCTCTCAGAGAAAGTATTTTCTTGTACCTGTTCCTACATTCTTTCATACACATCTATAAAACACATTTCATTCTTTCAGCAACAACTTCGAAGAGACGTGCCATTAAAAAAGTCTGTTGGGACCACACAAAAATAGTTTGAATTGTGCAAAATTTGACTTGTGCAACTTCAAGTTATGCACAGTGAACTGTACATGTATTTACAATAGAAAGATCACCTGTCTAGGAGACCACTTTCTCGTCCGCCTAGAGTGGTCTTTATATACCGGTTTCACTGTATGCCTTATTGCCATAGGACAGATATTAAGCAATGTTCATGCATGTCAAATTTCGCTTAAGAATGATTCTGGATTCAATTTGCATCTTCCATGCCAATATCTGGGGGATGAAGAATGTAAGGCTTTCAGGTCCATTTGTTGTTATGCCATCAAGTTATTTTGTCCAGGAATGTCACAAAATGCTGTGATCGAGCTCAATGTTTATTAATTGTATGAATAAATTAAAGTGACAAATAACTGGAGGGAATGTTCTGCAAATTATGAAGTCTATAAGTATCATCAAGTTTATGTAAATAGAAATTTGAATGAGGACTATCAAATGCTTTAATCGTAAAATCCTGCAATGATTATGAATGGTATTATCAGACTAAAAAATTATGTTAAATAGACAAATAAAGAAAATATTATATATATGAACATGGCAAGTAGGTGGATGGGGGTTAATTAAAGACACACTAAACCTGGTAAATAGTAATTTTTTCATTACTTTTCACATTGTGAGTGGTTAGTTTTTGTCTGTTAGGTGTTTTTAATGATCATATTACATAGAACTTCTGCCAATAATAAATTGGGGTTCTCATACCATCCTGGGAAAACTATCCTGGCGGGATAGTCTTCCAAACAATCGTATTAATAAGTGCTTTAAAAAAGAAAACAACCCAAATTGTTCTGAAAAATCCACTATTTGCTCACCTTTCAATAGCCATATTATTTCTCCATACAAATCTCCAGAGTATGGGAGAACAATGTCAGTGTGTAGGAGCTGGCCTTTTCCATCCTGCATCAGGTTTTGACTGAAGCGTATGATGACAGGGTCTACTGTTGGAAAGGATGGGCAAAGACATCCCATTTCTGAGGCAGCACCAACATCAATTAGAACGTCTTGGTAAGAGCCTGTATGTGGAGAAGTCAAGGGTTTATGACCATGTTTTCACCTCGTCGAAATACAAATTACAAAGCAATTACTGCAAACAATATGACTGTTTGGTTATTGGAATACAAAAATGTGCTTTAAAAAATGAACGACACAATATAATATGCAATGTAATGGCTGATTACTACAGGCAGTATGGCTGTTTGCTTGATGAACTTTGCCTACAAAAGTAATGTCATGTAATGTTGGAGCGCCTTGAGGACCTTGCAAGGTCGATACGTGCGCTATATAAGAATCCAATATTATTATTATTATTATTACAATGTGCTAATAACAAAATGTGTTTTTTATAAATAATAATTATGTAAGACAAAAGTACATGCAATACCAAAACAAACTGCAAAAAATATGGGCATCTTGTTTTAACAGTAATGTGGTTTATGATGAAATAGGGTTAAGGTATGAAAGAATTAAATAATAATAAAGATAAACTCTAAACATAATCATCTTCCTGAGAATAACTATTGTGAGACTATGTTGACTCTCTAAAACTAACAGTGAGGTGTATAATTACCATTGACCAAATCAAGAACGGTCTTTTCAGTACCAAAAAGACATCTTTAAAGCAAACTACTGACACAGTAGGTGCATTAAGCATTCAAGCCATATACAAATTCAGAATAATGTTGTTGCTGATGGTGTTATTAGGGGTGTTGTTGATGTTCTTGTTCTCGTTCCGAGAGTTTTGACATTATAAATTGTGCTTCAGACGAACCGTTTGTCCACGATGGCAGCTCGCCGGCCATCACTTCATAGATTTGAATCCTTAAGATACCGAGGTCTGCATCCCAATCACCAACGTTAGCGATCACGACTGTAAAAGAAAGCAAATTGTGCGGATGAGTCTACGATATATATACAGATGAAAGATACATCGCCTTCTAAAAGCAAATATTTTGGTCCTTAAATTTGATCAGTTTTTAATAATAATAATAATAATATTTAGCTTTGATTTAGCGCTTAATACAAATGTCTCTAAGCGCTTTACAAAATAAACGATTACCCCGGTCACTGGATTCAGTGCTTGCCCGCACACATTGTGTGCACAATCCCCACTCCCTGGGGAGCATTCCAGCCAGGCGTTACTTGATGCTCAAAAACTGTTTGACCAACATTGACGGTCGCATTCTACCGGGTACCCATTTAACACCTGGGTGGAGAGTAGCAAGTGCAGGTCAATATCTTGCCAAAGGATATTAGTGCCGTATCGGGATTCGAACCCTCGACCTTCGCATCTCTAGTCAAACGCCTTAAAACACTCGACCACGACACTCCCACATCAAATCCTACCTGAGCTAAGTTCTCAAATGCAAGTATTACAAAGTTCCCCATAATGCCAGCATTTTCAGTGCGCCGTGCTAATCATAATAGCTTTCAATATTGACCCGAAATGTATTTCAGTTCATCATTTTCATGCAAGCTTCATAATTACACTATTTTGTAATTGGTCGATTCAAGTTTGAAAAATTCTCAAATATGTTTTCAAATCGTGGAACTAAATTGAACCAAGAGGAATTTTCACACCCCAAACATTGAAATTAGAATAGACACACGTGACCGTGAACAAGTAATATAAATAACATGTACGAAAGGGAGCATTTTCTTAGTATTACTTGCTGTTGCGTTCTGGCACAATTCTGCTGCTGAGCTAGAAGGGCATACATCGGCATGACAGAATGGATAAGATCTGGATGAAGGTGTGTCTGTCTCTAGTACAGGTCCTTCTTCAGTCGGGAGGGCTGATTCCGGGAGGATTGGTTCAGGGGTTAAAGGACTCTCAAAGGAGGAAAACTGGCTTTGCTCATCGTTTTCAATAGATGACGTTGGTGATGGGAACACACGCTCCGACACAACTGGGATAGATTTTAAATAAACAGAAATAAATGTAGCATTACATCTCTGATCATCATCATTAGTAACCGATTCTGCAGATGCCCTTGTATTTGTTCGACATTTGGCGGAATTATCTGTAATTACATCAAAATAAACAAAAATTACAACTTTGGCAATAAAATTGGCATATTTTGGGTAATTAATCTAAATTTTTTCATTATATAAACAAAAGTAATATGGATTTTCTGAAGTAACATTCGTTGCCTAGGCTAGGAAGTCTATCTAAAATTACAACAGACTTACATGAATAACCTTACATTTAAAACACCTTGATCTAAATTTAAAAGAATATTCCTTTAATGTATTCACATTTAAACCTTTCAGTTATGCTATATATTGTAACGGATGTCACAATGCCTCCATGTAAATACATATCTACATATCTACGATTCTTCCTTTCTTTCCAGTAACATAAAACCAAATCACCTGTTTGGAACCAGAAGGGCGTTAACACATAAACTTATATACAGAGGTAACGCCCTCCTGGCTTTCTACAGATGAAATGATACGTAGACAACGATGTAAATGAGAATAATCATGATTTAAAAAAAATAACAAGTGGTGAAATCAAAGGTAGCAAGCATTTCCATAAATTTTCCCCTCAGAGAAAGTATATTCTTATATTAGATAGTTAAGACAGATACCGAGATGTGATTAATCCAGAGCTCGTCACATGATATAAATTGCTTTCGATGGTTATATTCACCAGCTGGTGAGATGAATATATTTTCAATCAATGCATGTTGCCCTCTTGAGGACTGTACGTAACCAATTACACCGATACCGAAGGTCAACCTGTTTTTTTTTTCTTTCTTTTTTCTCGAGTTCTTTTTTTCCCTTGAAATTATTTTTGTTCACATTTGTTTAAATAAATTTTGTTCGTCCTAAACAAATATTTAAAAACGGAAAACAAAATTTCGGGCAAAAAAAAATGGACCCCCCCCCCCTAAATTTACAAACCAAGGCTATCTAATATAACAGATATTGACTAGCATGGGGTATATAACATTCTTTGGACCTGAAGGGAATTACATTTTTCCTCGGGAAAATATAACTCTCTTCAGCGGTCTAAATAACGTTATATTACACCCCCTGCCAGTCAATATCTGTATCATACCTGTTTTCTACATTCATTGCTTGACACAATGGTCTTTCACACACATCTATGAAACAAAATTCATTCTTTCAGCAGCAACAACTTCGAAGAGATGTAGTAGTCAAATCTGTTGGGACCACAACAAATAGTTTGACTTATGCACAATTTGACTTGTGCAACTTCAAGTTATACTCAGTTAACTGTACATATTATGAAATTACTGTGGTTTAGTCTTATTATTTGTTCCGATGATTTACAAACCTTCGGAATAACCCTCAAAGGAGGATAACTCGCTTGGCTCATCGTTATCAATAGATGACGTTGGTGATGGCAACACTCGCTCCGGCACACCTGGGATAGAGTTTCAATAAACAGAAATAAATGAAGTATTACATCTCTGATCATCATCATTAGTAACCTATTATGCAGATCCTCTTATATTTGTTTAACATTTGGTGGAATAATATGTTATTACATCAAAATAAACAAAACTACAATTTTGGCAATAAAATTGGCATAATTTGGGTAATTATTCTAAACATTTTCATTATATAAAAACGTTTTACTGAAGTAACATTACCGTGGCTAGGCTAGTTCGTCTATCTCAAATTACAACATGGTTACATGATTGACCTTACATTTATATAACATGATCCAAGATAAAACAATTTTCCTTTGATGTACTTACATTTATGCCATTCAGTTATGTCGTACATTGTGACATTGTACATTGTGAACGAAGGTCACCAAATCGCCTGATTAGGACCAGAAGAGCGTATGTACTCATATACATAATGAACGCCCTTCTGGCTATCCACAGATGAAATGATAATAAACATAAACAACATAAGCAAAACTATATACTTAGTTAGGTTATGGCCAAATCTTAAAAGAGAACTGACCCCACATGATAACTTGAGTTGATCTGAGAGATTTATTGCATTCTTGCCCATCAATCTACAATATTTCCCACCAAAGTGTATGAGAAAGCATTTAGCAAGAATAAAGTACAGTTTCTCAGCAAGACATGGGCATCGCCATTTTTATTGATTGTATGGCGTTCTATGCGGAGTCATTTATCAACTAAATGTATTCAAATTTATGGATGCTTCCTTCCCAGGTGTTTGTGGTGTTGAAGCATTTTATTCAACCGTGACTTTTTATCCTTTGTACTTCAATTGCCAGAACGCAAATTGCATAGGGTGAAGGTTTCGCATAAATGAAATAGATATTTTAAACGCTATATGTTAGTATTTATAAATACATGAGTTTTAATTGTTACCCTATTATGTATTTTTCACCAAATGTAATTTTTACCTTCTCGGCTCTGATTTTCCCTCATTGAAAAGTAAGTTTTTTTTATTGAATTTAAAAACTTTCCGAAAAAAGCTTTGGGCATGATACATGTACAACTCCAACTGGTAAGTCACATTTTCAAGAAAATGGCTGCGCCCATGTCATGCTAAAAGAAATCTTCATTTATATATCCCTTCTACACGTTCGTAAGACTTATTGTACAACAAAAGGCAGGAATTTATCTTGTTTTACAAAATATCTCCAGTTAATCGTTTGGGTTCGTTCCTCTTTTAGAATAAAGTCTTGAATGAATTATCTTGAGATTTACCATCAATGCAGGGCCTATAACTCGAAGCTTCCTCTACGCCAGTATTCCGAATACATGCGAGAGACATGAGCTGGCACAAGTTGGTGTAGTTCTGTCCGTCTGTCCCACAGACCTCTGGCTCATCAGTTACAGGGCAGGAATGGGGACTGATACACCTACACACACCGACACCAGATGAGTCCGTCTCACATTTCTGCCACACCTCGCATCTGACCGAATCACAGGGCCTCTCTGGCACAACGATTTCTGTTTAAGATGATGAAATATCACAGTTAGAATCAGTAGCTGCTCAACCTGGTATTGTGTTTTAAAGGCTCATATTAAGGGGTTCTCATAGAAGCTTGACACCTTTCGGGCGTTTACCTGATAACAGGTGTTGTCAATCACCAAGTATAGACTTCACCTTTAAGACAGATAAGTCTTATGTAATGCACTGCGTCCTCCACCTACCAACCACCTCGTAATGAATATCATCATACATTTCCCTCATCCTCAAGATCTGAAGGCAAGGTCGTACAATTTCCTGGTGGCCGCCTGCGAGACGTGTACATACATTATTATATCGATAACTATTTGTATTTAAAGGGATAGTTGAGTTCTGTTGCTGAGGGCGCTACACAATTTTTTTTGTGGGATAATGAAAAACTGAGTGTCAAATTTGAAAGAACATAATATTTAAACGACAAAATCATCTTTGTTTGATCAAAATCGGTTCAGAGACGGCTGAAATATAACGATTTCTAATACTTGTGTACCATCACAAATATTAGACATTTTGAAAAATTTGAAACCCCCCCCCCCCCCCCCCCCCAAAAAAAAAAAAAAAAAAAAATAACGCCTCTTAGGTCGTATTTCAGCCAATGCCGATGTTGGCTTTTTTGTTGGCATTTTCGTGTTGCTTATATTACGCACAACCAGCCGGCACATGTGGTGTTATTTTTTAATTAAATAATTAACGGTCACCGTGTTTTTTTTTTTAAAGTGGAGCTGAATTGGTTTGATCGTATTGACTTAATTTCACACATTTTAGGGTCTAAAATTACCTTCATAGCAAATTTAGGTTCTAAAAGGGCACTAGAAATGTCATAGATAATAATAAGAGCAATAAGCATGCACTTGGAAACTTGGAAAGAGGCATGAAATCATCCCCAAAATGTATGAGACATTCTGATGATTAGAATTATAGAGCATACGGGATATTGTGGGTTCCATCAAAGCCGGAAAGAATTTTAATTTTTGCAATTTTCATACAATTTATATGATATCTTTACAGAAGTAATAATCGAAGTGCATAATCTGATTTTAATAGAAATCCATGGAGCATGATACATACAGAGCAAAATATACCTTTGAAAGAAAATCTATAGTTGAACTTTTCTATTGGCAAAAGAAACATACTTTCACCAAGTCTTTCCTCTTGACAAAAAAATCTACACCAATTTGTTTCCTTAAACTCACCAACGCAAGCAGGTAGGGGATGGGACCAGTTTCCACTTTCCTGACAATCCAAGAAAGGCTCTCCTTGTAACTGATATCCCTGGTAGCACCCTATGAGCACAGAGTCACCTACTCGGTTCCCTCCTATCTTGGTCCCATGGGTTGGGGGACGTAGTTCTTCACATGTTGCTCCTATATAGTTTCAAAGGAAACAAAGAACAAGCAAAGAAAGGATGCAATGTCAAATTGAACAAAGCATAAAGTATTATACTTTCTTTCACAGTATAAGAAACAATCTACATCGATAAATCTTTCTATAGTTCCATGTAACTAAATCACAACTACAGTGCGTCCCAATAAAAACTATACACTTTTGAAATGGCTGCTGAATAAATAATATATGATTCTGGGGGGAAAAGTTTTATATGTATGGAAAGCTCATAAACTCAACTTTTATATGACACCAAAAGGTCCGAAAATAATTCATGCTTGGGTGAACACTGCTCACTTTTGCAAAGGGTATGAAAATTAGGTTGCGCAGGAATTAGCCTTCCAATTTGTGAGAGGTAAATCCTTTGGAGCCTACGGAATTGAGGATGATATGACCAATTTATGATAAATTGTGATGAGTTTGGGATTGCTGAATGAAATTTGTGGTTTATGGGATTAACATTTAATGCATGAGTGAACATGGATTGCATTTGTTATTACCGTATAACAATGTAAGTTTCCATGGTAGACTCAGTGGTGTGTTCATGGAAGTCAGGACGGGGTGATGGTACATGGTGCAGGGGAGGTGAAATGTAGGGTAGGACTTTGTTGGGTAGATGGGATAAGGGTCAAGAGGACATGTATGCCCCCTCTCTTTCTCTCTCTCTCTCTCTCTCTCTCTGACTAGGTGTGCTTGTGCATATCTTGACAATTCATTAGACAATCAACATTCAGCTACCAATCTAATCAACAATGTATCACTCAATCTATCACCCATCTAACCTGAAGAATAAGTAGCCAACATCTGCGACATTCTTTTTGTCAACAAACCGTATTTGAAAAATCAATTTACATAATCCCCATCTGGTTATTAAGTAAATCAATGAGATGTTCAACTAATCTTACAATAACTTAAATGTGGGGTGAAGGCTTTTATTCAAGTCACAGATGTAAAAAAAAAAAAAAAAAAAGTTGGTAACATGGAAATTACAACATGTACCATCACCCCCAACCTGAATCCCATGAACACACCACTGAGTCTACCAGGGAAAGTTACATTGCTATACGGTAATAACAAATGCAATTCATGTTCACTCATGCATAAAAGTTTGGTTAATAAACCATGAAATTCATTCAGCAAATCATGAACGTATCACAATTGATCATAAATTGGTCATATCATCCTCAATTCCGTAGGCTCCAAAGGATTTACCTCTCACAAATAGGAAGGCTAATTCCTGCGCAACCTAATTTTCATACCCTTTGCAAAAGTGAGCAGTGTTCACCCAAGCATGAATTATTTTCGGACCTTTTGGTGTCATATAAAAGTTGAGTTTATGAGCTTTCCATACATATAAAACTTTTCCCCCCAGAATCATATATTATTTATTCAGCAGCCATTTCAAAAGTGTATAGTTTTTTTTGGGACGCACTGTATAGGTCATGATACATGTAAAGCATGGTTTCCATTTCCATGTTATGGATGATGATATTTCCTACTAAACCATTATTTTGTTGGAATGAAGGTAAAAAAACAAATACCAAAAATTATATCATATTCACATTTTATTATGTTTTCCTGCAATACATGTACAATGCTACAAAAATCATTGTGGGGAGAGATAATGTTTCCCGAAAGTAGATGGGTGGGTGGGGTTAGGATGTGTGTGATTGTGTGTGGGAGCATGGGTAACAAGGACACTAATAAGAACTGTACCTTCACTTAATTTGACGACCATTTACAAAATTGTTCCCTCGGTTGTGTAGTATATTTTCTAGATTGTTCTTGAGTTGTTATTTTCCTTAAGATATTATACCCTGGACCCCGCCTGTTGTCGGCTCGGTCGCTACTCTCCCTCGCAGCACAGTCAAACATACATGTTGGTAATTCAACTACAAATTCTTCTCGTTTTGGCACTTATAGAGAGAATTTTTTTAGATGGGCCCCCTCCCCTGGCGCTGAAGGGGGGGGGGGGCGGGTGCGATTTTTCAAACTTGGGAGCAAAACAAAATTATTGTTCCTTAAGAACCCCCCCCCCCCCTCGCTTATTCACCGGCTGGCTGTTTCGCCGCTAAATTTTTTCTCACGAGTTGGGTCCCCTCCCCTGCCGCTGACTGGTTCCGCCCCTGGCTCTCATTATGCACTAAATAGCCTTTGTTATGTAAATTCGTTTTCATTTCAATTAGACGTGCAATTATAGCCATAGATGGAGCTTTAGGACAACGTACATCAAAGACACAAATTGGCCCTTACTTTTGCATGTTGGAGCAGGATGTGACCACTCCCCAAACACGCAAGACATCCTTCTTGCCCCGCTAAGAGTGTAGTCATCGTTACAAGTAAATGTGATCAATTTGCCCATGTAATATCGTTCATGTCTCCAACCGTTGTCATAGTCTTGGATTTCGCCATTGGTTGGTGCCGTAGGATCGTCACAATATATCTCTACAATGTTATGGAGTTGAAACAAGAATGTAACTTTAAAACAAACACAAATTGTCTACAAAATTCTTCATTGTCATTCAATTTCGAGATACAAAGATAATAATAATACTACAGCATGTATTATTCGCCATTTATCTAGTAAACTATTCTGAGGCGAAGATGGAGATTATTACCGTGGCATGCAATCTTGGATACGAGTATTGATCCTGTGATTCTACTGTGAAAAAACAGTTTGGATTTGATTTGATTTGATTTGATTTATTTATTACGGTGGACTTGATCCTTTTTTGCGGAATGATAATAATAATGACGTTAATAATGATAATAATAATAATAATAATAATAATAATAATACATCTTATCATATTCATATAAATATGAGGGCATTTGAGCAATCTTTTTCTAGAGAAATTTCTACTATGATGTTTTTCAAAACTGACATGCCCTTTCGTTTAATGAAATCTGACAGAGAAGTAAAAGGAGTCTCTTTCATGCAACTGCTATTATCTTTTCTCTGAAGCATAGGATGTAGATTCATGGAAACAAAATGTAAATTTCTGAGAGAAAAAAATGAACTGCAGAGTATCTAAATAACTGTACGCATATAAACTGCAGACAAATCAACTTAATTCAAATATTCCACCGAGATATGACAACCATTTTAATGTACTTTACAGTGCATTTGATTGCTTGCTAGTGACTACTGGGAGAACGAAACTACCAGGATAGTAAAGGAGATCGCTCAAAGAGTAAAGAGAAAATTAAGTTGGATTCGTACACCTTGTTACTCATCTATGATCAATTATAGCTCAGGAGCTCAAGTTCAAAGGGGAATACTCCAATACTCTATATGTTTGGGGTTCCATAGCATTTTACCATATTCACGTTTTAAATCTCAAAACGTAACTTCTGTAAAGAGATCTTGTCAGTCTAAATGCACCCTTACTATAAAGTAAAATCAACTTGTAGACAAGATGACAACAGCTTACGCGCATACACGGCCGCAGGAGCTAAATCCAAGTTAACTTATACGTGGTTCTTCGAATTAAATCATTTTAAAAGCCATTATGCTTCCTACTCTTCATCATTTGATTTTATTATATGGTGGGATTTTGTTTCTTTGGGGGGGGGGTTGTTATTACGTCTAGTATGATAAACAAGCGACTGGTCCTCTAAAATGGTATTTTTTAAATAAATCTAGAAAAACACTCCAGAAAAAATAGAATACAGTTTGTTAAAGGTGTGAGGATGTAACTCATCTTACCAGCAAACTGAACATCGACAGTGTGAGAAAGTCTAGAGTCGCGAGACCGGCAAGTGAAACGACCAGAATGTGACGGACTTGGTGGGTCTAGGTTCATTACTTTTGTTCCATAACTATTCCAACGATCAGCATTAGCATTCTGCAAAAAGACAGAAGACAGCATAAAATGAGGTTGATTCCCTACCGCACAGACGGCGGAGCGACTTCCAAAGTGGGGGGGGGGGGCACCAACAAAAAGGGCACTTTCTGGAAAAAGGGCATCTTCAAAGGGAAATCTCAAAGCGAAATTATACAATTAAAAAAAACATTGGTATATACCCCTATATTGTGATTACATTATAAGGGATGATTTCAATATTTTGCTGATTTGTATACATTGTATAAGATTTTGTTGAAAATTCATTTGCGAGCGAGCAAAAAAATTAAGATTTGTGAGATCGCAGTGCAAAAAATTACATCTTATATAGAGAAGGAAAAAACCCAATCCTAACAGAAGACTGAAAAGACCTTAGAGCGTAGTGAGCGAGCTTTTGGTGATATTGCTCTTAAAAGCTTGAAATTAGGGGCACGTGATGAGAGGAAAGGGGACACTTTTCGAAAGGGATGGCACTTATTCGAAAAGAAAAAGAGCACGTGTCAAAGTACAACGGGTAATTATCAGAAGGTGAAAATGGGCCACTTCTTACACCTAAAAAAAGGGGCACTCACTAGTGCGAATGGGAAATGGCATTTGTCGACGGAAAAGAGGCACCCATCAGATTTTGATAGGGGCATTTATAAGAAGTGAAAAGGGGCATTTATGCAATAGGGGTAGGTTCCTTATAAGAAAGGAAATGGGGCACATATCATTGTTAAAGGGGTAATTATCAGAGGTGAAAGGGGCACTAGTCGCATCTGAAAAGGGGCACTTATGAGAATGAAAAAGGGGCTTTAATAATAAAGGGAAATGTTCATTTGTTGTAAGAAAAGGGGCACCGATCAGTTTTTATAATAGGGGCATTCATCGCGAGGTGGAGGGGGGATTTATGAGAAGGGGGAAGTGGCTCTTATCAAAAAGAAAAAGAGGCACATGTTACGATAAACGGGGCAATTATGAGGGATAAAAAAGGGTAATTATGAGAAGGGGATAGGGCACTTATTTGAAGGAAAAAGAGCATTTATTAGGAAGGAAAAGGGGCACGTATCAAAATAAAAGGGGCAGTTATTGAAGATGAAAAGAGCACTTATCAGGAGGAGAAGGGGCACTTGTCAAAGTAAAACGAGTACCTCTCAGAATTTAATAGGGTCATTTACAAGAGATGGAAAGGGGCTATGAGAATGAAAAGGGACAGTTTTCATAAATAAAAGAGGGCATTTATGAGAAAGGGAAAGGACTCTTTTTTAAATGGGGGCACTTATTAGAACGGAAAGAGGACACATGTGAAAATACAAGGTGCGCTTATCCGTGTTAAAAAGTGGTAGTTATTAAAAGGGGAAGGGGCGCTTCTCGTATCTGAAAAGGGACACTTACTAGAGATGAAAAAAGGCACTTATGAGAATGGAAAATGGACACTTATTGCAAAGGAAAACGGGTACGTGTTAAAATATAAGGGGCACTTTTCAGAGGTGGAAAGGGGAAGGGGCGATTTTAGAAATTAATAGGGGTACTTTTCAGAGTAAAAGGGGCACTTTAATATAAAAAGGGGCACGTTTAGGGTACTTGAAAAAGTGGGGGGGGGGCATTTTACCCCCTCCCCCCTCTGCCCCCCCCCCCCCTCACGAGCCCTACCTTTCTGTTTGGAACCAGAAGGGCTTATACTTCAACACATACCAAATATTGTAATTTCTAACGAACCAGTTTACTATCTCACCTGCTAAAATCCTCTATAAAGCCAGACAAGGCTGTGTTTATACATATATATTTACATTACTTCGTAATATAATATTATATTATTAATGACTGCTTTGAGAAAAACAACTATTTCTCGAATATTAAAGCAGTCATTAATACTTCTATATGCCGAAAAAAAAGAGTCAACTTATGACACCACCTTGGCCTTTATCTAGTTTATCTGCACGGTTGTTTTTTATGAGTGTATCTTTGAGAGTAGACTAAAAAATAAAAAATAAAATATAAAAAAAACTTTTGTCGAAGATGGGATTTGATCTCTTGCGCACCTACGATGATGTGACTAAAATCACAATGCAAGATAAAATTGTCGGTAAGATCGATCGAGATTCAATTGTATTGAAATTACTGACCAATTCATCGCACACGTACGGTATCCTCGATCGCTCAGACCATTTTTTAACATGTCAACCTATGGGTATTTCACCAAGACTGAACTATTTTCCCGGTAACCATGGTTACTGGGATTTTAGAACTATTTTTAGAACTATTACATGGGTTTGGAATTTTACCGGGAATTTTACAGGAATATTATTACCATTCTTAATTATTGTTGTTTCTACAAAATGTTGTTCTGAATACCTAACTCACTGCAAAGAACCGATTCTCCCATGACTTTTTTAATCGATAATAACAGCAATAATTTGACATAACACATCCAACAACTTGAAAGGATTTGTTATCAGTCAACTCTTCTGCTTTTATGTTGAGGGTATATTGATATCACACTACAGCCAATGCTCACCGGTCCATATTGATTATCTGATTCAAATATTGCCCTCGCATAGCTATCGTAAGGCATGCGACAATAAATGTAGAGCTGACCGCGTGGATGAATGACGATTGTTCCATTACTCCTGACTTCAAGGGGCTGGTTATTTTGAAAGCTGATCCTGGTGGCTGCATTAACTGAAAAAGAATGATCATGGTTAAACAATTAATTGAAGCAAGGACCACAGACCACAGACGAAAGTCTACTGCTTACAGCAATGCGTACTTACGTTGAGCAATACACCCATCGCATATACAGGTAACGACTATTAGATTAAACATAATGGAGACTTCTGATTGTATAATTATGTCTCAGAGTTAAGAGCTTGTATAAGTCTCAGGGTGGCTCCTTTTTTTTTCTTTTTTTTTACTTGGAGTTATTTTTAGGATGAATATTTGAATAATCCTCTTAAAATAATACTTTAAATATTCAATTGGATTTGTTGCATATTCAGGTATTTAACTTATAAAACAGAATTACCATTTTGCATTGCACCTCTCAGCCTGGAAAAAGTTTCGCTATCCAGTGTCATGAATAATTCATGACATTAAGTGACATGAGGTTATCTTGTATAAGATGATGTTACATGATGAACAGCAGCGAGTTATCTCTAAGTTAAGTTCTGTGCATTGCTTCTTGTAAAGTAAATTTTCCCCTAATTGTCGTTACATCATGGCGACCATATATATATATATGATTTCCACGCAAAGGCCGCATTTGTAAAGAAAATAGAAGTCAATTATAATCTAAATATGTCAGAAATGAAAAGCTTAATTATTACAAGTTCCAAACTCCTTTGGCAAGAAAGGTGGAACAAAACCAACTCGTATTTGAAAACATTTCAAAATAATGTTAATAAACAATATATATGTTCATTAGAGAGACAGCATTCAACAATTATTCATCGACTCCGCTTTGGATTCCTTGGACATAACCAGGATCTCCTCAGATTGAGAATTCATGCTACTGGTTTCTGTAATAGATGCCCCAGTGAAATAGAGACTGTAAAACACTTTTTAGTACATTTCCCTAACTATATTATTGAAAGGGCTATGTTTTTAAAAATATAATAACATAATGTAATAAGAAAATGAAATAAGAACCATAAAACATAATCAATAATATAATTTGCTAAATTACACTCAGTACATTAAAAATATAATAACATAATGTAATAAGAAATTAAAATAAGAACAGTACAACATAATACAATATTATAAACATGCTAAATTACACTCAGTACATTAAAAATATAATAACATAATGTAATTTAAAAAAAATAAGAAAAAGTAACAACAATAATAAATGGTATGATAAGATTATTGAATATAGAGGCTTGTGTAAGTACTATCTTATATACATATTTATGTATGGTGTGTATGTGATATAACAAATAATCTGCACGTACTGTTAAGAAACACCAACAAAGCCCATGAATGTTTTGCTTACGATATCATTTTTCGATTCTATCTTAAAATATAGATAAATATAAAACGAAATAAAAATATTTTTAAAAAATACAAAAATGAGAGATATAACACGTGCCGTAAAGTATTTTGGCGACAATAGTCAAATTACTGACTAATCGCCAATAAACCAAAACACAACAACAACAACAACATATATATAGTAGGAATACTCCCCAGGGAGTGGAGATGGTGCACATCGTTCGCTAATGAATCCGATGACCAGGTTATAATAAATGTAAAGCGCTTAGAGACTGTTTTTCGTGTAAATTGCTCTATAAATCCAGATTATTAATATAATGATCATTATTTACATCATATTCATTTGAATGTCTTATATACATTTAGGAGAAATATGTCTCACAAATGTGTCTAACAAATAAGTATTTTTGCGAATGGCCTTGCCCAGCTTGAAAACATAGGGCCTACAACATGATCTCCATAATGTGGGTGTGTTTTCTTACCACATCTCGGTTCCTCCCCCGTCCAGCCGCCATCGAAGCAGGTTCTATTTGCACTACCACGCAACACATATTCTCCAGGAAGTGAGCAACGAGACACTAGAAAGGTCCCTTCAGGAAGCTCATCATGAGGGTAAGTAGCAAGTTGGTTCGTCTCTATTCCGTTCACATACTGAACAACGTGAGAAATGTATCCAGGCCTAGGACACAACCTTTCAATCCTTACTGTAGTAGTCAGAAGAACAAAACAAATACACAGGTGAATTGGCAACAATACAGTGACTTCTGTAAGGTTGTCCGATAAATTGTACTTCTGAGAAGCTCTGAGAAAGCATGATGCCCTATATGCTTGATTCTTAAAATCCCTAGTTTTTATCAATAATCCCTATTTTCTTACATAATGCAATGTGTGTGTTTGTTCGTGTGCGTGAGTGCGTGTGTATGTGCGTGTGCGTGTGTGTGTGTGCGTACGTGTGTGTGCGTGCGTGCGTGTATGTGTGTGTGTGATATTCAAGTACTTTGTGGTAACGCCTATTTATGCAAAACATAATATCTGGGTAACACGGCTCTTGGTATTACAATGAGCTTTATTGCAAGGTACTTTCCATAAACTCTTTTGAACGTCCGCTTTCTTTCACGATGTATATTGCAACGCCTTTATACAATGCCATAGTATCTGGGTAACGACGGCTTTTTTTAAATATTACAATGAGCTTTATTTCGATAACGCATTCTATGTAAATTCACATATCTTAGTAAATGACTGATACATATTTAAAACTTTTTCTGTAAAGTGAAAACAATTCGAGTATCTGGATAATGGTCCGATCTGTTCACCCAGCCAAAACTATTTTGTTTTAAAGCCAGGTGGTGGTGTGATGTTTTGAGAGGGAGTAACGTGTTGGATCCGGTATGCATGCTTGCCTATCATTATGTCGGGCTGACGTTTGGTGTTCTTTCGAGTTGTCGGGAACGCCCTTTAGGAGTTTTTTTTTACGGAGTGCATACAAAACGATCAGGTGTGTGAGCCTATTCATTCATGGGTGAGGCTTATTATGCAAATTATAGAACTTGGTAAATGATAGCATGATGGGTTCGGTTTGCACGAACAGTTTATTAGGTTGCCGAACTGGTGTCGTTTGGGGGAATTTGGTTTATTGGGATCGTGTTTTTATTTTTAATTAGAAGGTGCGTATTGTAATTAGGTACGCGGGCCGGTCAATTCACTGTAATGCATTTTAGGAAAATCATTTAACTTAGTTATGACGAGCGGGTTCCGTAATACAATTCAAGGCATTTGTTAAGGGATAAAAGCTCTTTGTATTTTTTTTTTGTTTTGTTTAATTAGATTACGGTTATATAACAATACAACGTATTTCTCATCGACTTGTGCAAGAAGAAATGTTCATTGGTTTATTCTGTCATTGGTCTAGTTAAATTGATAGGGAAAGGGGGAGGCTCTTGCTCTCGGATGTTTACGTACACCGAAGAGCAGATTTTGGTTGTTTTGTGTGGGGGTGTTGTGTGTGTAGTGAATATGCTTGTGTGTATGAATGCGTTGGGTTGTGTGGTACGGGGTGGATTCTGCTTGCATTTTTTATATTATTCGACGATAAGTATGCATATATGTTTGGCTGCAGATAGTTTTTTCTATACATTTGCTCACGGTGGAAATAGATTGTGTGGAAGTTTCTTTGGAGTTTATCGATGTAAGGTTTTGGATACAATTACACATAAAATAACATGGCAGTGAAATTATCTTTCATGACATTAAATGTTAGAGGAATAAGAGATAGGTTAAAAAGAGTGAATATTTTTGAATGGTGCAAAACTAAAAAGAATAGTATAATTTTCTTACAAGAAACATATAGTACAGTAGAGATAGAAGAGCGGTGGAAACAAGATTGGGGAGGGCCAATGTTTTTTAGTCATGGGTCAAACCATAGTAGAGGGGTTCTTATTTTATTTTCTAATCATTTAGATTTTGAAGAAAAAAAAATTAAAGTAGATGAAGAGGGGAGATACATTATTTTTAAAGGTGAAATACAAAGGGTTAAAATGCTATTGGTTAATGTTTATTTTCCAACGAGAGATAAAGAAACTTTACAAATTGAATTTTTGAAGAAGTTAGATGAAAGTATTTTTGATCAGTGTGATCGGGACTATTTAGTTTTATTAGGAGGTGATTTCAATAGTATATTGGATGGAAAATTAGATTATGTGGGGTCAAAAACACCGGTGAAATCTCGGGTTATTGATTTGATTAAGGAATTTTTAAATAAATACGATTTAGAAGATATATGGAGGAAAAAAAATCCGAATGTAAAGCAATTTACTTTTCGACAAAATTGGCCGGTGGTGCAAAGCCGTTTAGATTATTGGTTTATACCTTGTAGTGTTGAAAAATTGGTGGGTACGTGTGAGATTTTGACATCTATTACGCCAGATCATTCTGGCGTTAGGCTAGAATTTAATGATCTTGTTGATAAGTTTTTTTTTGGGAAATCATATTGGAAATTTAACAGTAGTTTATGTATGGATAAAGATTTTGTTGAAGAGATGAATAAGGAAATACAGGAATTAAAAGCTGAATGGTCATTACAGATTTTGAATAAATTAGTATTTTGGGATTTTTTAAAGATGAAAATGAGAGAATTTATTATAACATACTCGCGGAAAAAGGCAAAAGCAAGGAGGGTTGAAATAGAACTGTTATAGAAACAAATCAAGGATTTAGAAGGCGAACTGGTAGTGGGACCCACTAAATATATTGTTGATTGTATTGAGGAGAAAAGGGATAAACTAAATAAATTGTATGATTTTTCTCGACAGGGCATTAAAATAAGATCAAGAGCACCTTGGTTTGAAGATGGAGAAAACAATACGCAATATTTTGAACAGTTGTTAAAATCGAATAAAAGGAAAAGTGTAATTAGGGAGGTGTACAAAGAAAATGGGGAAACTACTAGAGATAAGGAGGAAATTTTAAAGGAAATTAAACTATTTTATAAAGATTTATATTCTTTAAGGGCTGATATAAATCAAAACGACCCTTTCTTTTTCAATGATATTTCAAAGTTAAATGAAGACAATAAGGAAATCTGTGAAGGTAAATTAACTAAAGATGAATGCTTGAAAGTTTTAAAAGAAATGAAACTGAATAAAACCCCGGGAAATGATGGGTTAACAGTTGAATTTTATTATACTTTTTGGCCAGCTTTGGGTGATTTGTTAGTAGAAGTATTGAATGAAACATACGAAAGGGGGGAATTAACGGCATCTCAAAAACAAGGGGTAATTACCTTAATTGAGAAGGAAGCGAAAGATACTCTCCATATAAAAAATTATCGACCCATCACGCTTTTGAATGTAGATTATAAAATTGTATCTAAAGTTCTAGCAAAAAGAATGAAAGAGGTTTTAAATGAAATAATTCATCATGATCAAGTTGGATATATAAAAGATAGAAATATTGGGGAAGCTGTACGATTGATAGATGACATGTTATTTTATTCTATGCATTATGGGGAACAAGGGAAAGGGTTTTTGTGTGCAGTGGATTTTGAGAAAGCTTTCGACTCTGTATCTCATAGATATTTATTTCAAATATTGAAATTGTTCGGTTTTGGAGATTCATTTTGCTCTTGGGTAAAATTATTGTATAAAGGGATAAGTAGTTGTGTTATGAACGGTGGTCACTCCACGGGGTATTTTGAAATAGAAAGGGGAGTAAGGCAAGGGGATCCATTATCGCCATATTTGTTTTTGGTTGCCATCGAAATTTTGGCGCATGCAGTAAGGAGGGACAACGGTATTAAAGGGATTACATTTGGAAAATCTGAAATTAGGCAAGTGTTATATGCAGATGATATGACAATATTTTTGAAGGATATTGATTCGGTTAGAAGGTTGCAATATATTTTTGAATCATTTGAAAAAATTAGTGGTCTTAAAGTGAATAAAACAAAGACACATTTTATGTGGATGGGTGAGGATGAGAACAAACCTGATGGGCCTTTATTTGGAAATTTGGTTAAGGAAATACATATTTTAGGGGTTAGTTATTCATTAGATCGAAGTTTAAAAGATGATTTGAATTATAAAGAAATTCTAAGTAAAATAAAAAAATTGCTTGTATGGTGGAAACAAAGAGATTTAACTATTATGGGTAAAATACATTTGCTAAAAACTTATGCGCTTTCAAAATTAAATTATATTTCATCTCTCGTTATTGTCCCTCATTGGGTATATAAAGAAGTTGCAAAAATTTCATTTGAATTCATATGGAGGGGGAAAGATAGAATTAAACGGGCAATAATGTATCAGGATTATGACTTTGGAGGATTAAGAATGATTAATTTTGAAATGTCCGTTAAAATACAGCGCATAATGTGGATAAAACGTCTTTTATATGGAGAGAAAAGTTTGGGATGGAAATTGTTTTTTGATCATTGCTTACAGTTTGTGGGTGGTAGATTTATTTTTTTATGTGATTATGATTTAAACAAGATTAAACTCGTTTTAGATATTCCACCATACTATATGGAAATGTTGCAAGCATGGCAAGAGACAAGTAATTTAAGATATTTGGAGGGTTATATTAATCCAATTATTTTTAATAATCAGAATATATGTATAAATGGAAAAAGTATATTTGATAGATACTTGTTTGAAAGAGGGATTGTTCAACTGAATCATTTGGTTGAGAAAGGTCATGTTAAGCCTGTTAAATATTTTATGAACCTCGGTATGAAAGGTAATAATTTGCTTATGATTATTGATATTTATGATGCGATACCCAGGTTATGGAAGGATGATTCAGGGTTAATAGAATTCCTCGAGGTTGATTTGATAAGCTTTAATACTTATTTCCATATTTCTAGTAAAAAAATACAGTTTGTGGATGTGGGTTCAAGAACAATCTATGATTATTTCATCAAAGCACTGCAGCGAACGTATGATTTGCAGGTAAGGGATGGGCAAAATGACTATGATTTTATAGATAAAGAATTAAAAGAAATATTTGTGAGACCAAGAATTACTATACTCATTAGAAAACAACGTGAATTTCAATTTAAATTATTGCATGGAGCCATATACACTAATGAGCATCTTCATAGATTTGGTTTTGTTGGTGATAATTTATGTTCGTTTTGTAAGCAGGAAATAGAAACATACAAACATTTATTTTTATCTTGTGGGAGCGTTCAAAGGTTATGGCAGGCTTTAATACAACTTTTTGAGTTAGATGAAATTAAAGATTTAGAATGGCGAGATATATTTGTTGGGTTGGTAGGTAGTTCATATAGAATAAAAATGTGTAATACTATCATTTTCATGGTGAAGTATGTTACATTTATGTCAAGATCGGGGGGGGCGAGTACTAACTTTAGAAAAGATGAAAAAAAGCATTTTTAAGTATAGGGATGAGGAAAAGAAAATAGCAATTAAAATGGGAAAGCTAGGATCACATTTTTTAAAGTGGGAGCAGCTTAAGATTAATTAAGATTTGCTTTCTTCTCCACCGTGAGCTTGTTAAAAGCGTAACTCGATTTTGCGGCCTGGATAACTTATTTAGTATATTTTTCTTAAGTTGAGAATGTTGGCAGACATCCACTGAGTGAGTACTGTGTGTGTGTGTGTGGGGGGGGGGTGGGTGGGTGGGTGAGTATGTGTGTGAGTGGGTGAGTATGTTTGTGTGATAGAGGGTGAGTATGTCTGTGTGATGTAGGGGGCAGGGAGGGGGCAGGATTGTTTCAGTAAAATTATCTCCAGATTTGTTTTTTTTTGTAATATATAAGTAAATAACATTTACAATTGACATATTATGTTTAGGTACTTATACGTTTACTTTGTTGTTAAGTTATATTATACTGCAAATAAGTTTGTGTTTAATTATGTTTATGTAAAAGCATCAATATTGAACACGTTTATTTTATTCAATTGTATGTCATGGTTTGTGTTACACATCTGGAGAAATAAAACAAAATTGTTAAAAAAAAAATAAAAAAAAAAAAAAAAAAAAAAAAGTGTGTAATTGGATTTTAACAGACGTGTATCAATCAGAAATGATTATTTATGATCACCATCCAAAAGTCGTGACTCAGTTTCGAACAAGGATCACCTGAGCCAGTTTGTAGGCGAAGAATATTGTTTTAATCTTGTCTTTCTTTCAAAAATCTAGATTCCTCTTTCTCAAGACTGGTAGACACGAAATAAACATCATACCATCTTGAATTTTTTGTTTGATATGTAAGTCATTCCCTTCATTGTTGCCTGCAGATTACTTTTTTCGCCAAAGTAAATGAAAAGTAACCCGGAAGAAACCCTCATTATATTTTTAATTATACAATTACATAAGATTAGCATTAATATATTTAACCTTTAAGGTGCCACGTCAGACAATTAGCACATTCAAGAGGGTGCCATGAGTGATTATGACAAAAAAGAAGAGGTTTGTATTCAGATTGCTCCATGCCCTGTAGGCCTACCGATATGGCTTTAAACTACTCTCACATCACATGTTTGCAAAGCATTCTGTCACTCAAAAGTTGAAGATGTTCTAAACCCTTTCCCGAAATTCTTTTCATATTTGTGGTTTGGCTCAATAACTTTGATTCAGAGCCCTAAAAATATTTGCCAGATGCATGAGTAGAAAAGGAAAACAAATTATGCGCACACTGCATCCATTTTCATTTCATGACTATCTTGCGTTATATGTCAAGAATATTAAAGATTAAGCTTTAAGAGCCTCGAATCGGCAACATATCGAGAAATTCATAATAAATCCGGGCCCGAAGGGTTAAGAAAAACACTTTGTTATGAGTGTGTCACAGAATTGTATTTTATAGAGATATAGACTGCTTTGGCAGCCAGCCCTAGAATATTAAAGCAGTCGATATGTCTTTTATATGCCGAATTGAAACAAAAATCTACCAAGAATTCTCACCTTATATCACAGAAAATCTGAGAAACTGTCTGTGTATCCTTGCCAGAAAAATGACTGAAAGTTTCAATCATTTGTGGGAATCGCAGACAAAAAGCGCTGTATGGTAGCCGCGCGTGCACAAAAACAATTTTAACAAGTAAACCAACTAAAGGGGATCTGAGCACAATTGATTTATGCGGCATGTCACCCTGAGCAACGGGCATCTTTAAAAAGACCATTGACCGGTAGGCGAGTGTGGGGGCACTTTTCAAAAGACTATTGACTGGTAAGCGGGTATGAGGGGAACGGCTAAAATCCCGACTGCAATTTCCACCAATCAGATGGCTAGATTTCTAAAGAGAGGTATAAGAATCATTCTAGTGTATGAGGAAAATCACGGTAGGAATGGATCAACTGATCAAACACATGCAATGTTTACAAACGGGCATACACAAGCAACCATAAGGAGACCATAATATTTAAAAGAAATTGCTATAATCTGGCTTACCACATATCGGTACAGCGACTGACCATACTCCCCTCTCCAAGTCTAAACATACTGTCTGCACTGCAGGCTGAGCTGTATAGCCTGAATTACACCTAACAGAAATGGATACACGCTCACCAATGGGCAAACCCTCATCAAAGATATTCCCTGCAAAACCTGTGATTGAGTAACGCTCTCCTCTGGATCTCTCTGGGAGCATGCATCGAGGAGGGCCTGTTGGAAAGACATTGATTAAAGAAAGCATTACAAACAAGAGGGAGCTCATCGAATCGTGGATGCTCCTGCCGAGAAACTGTCTGATCCTTGCTCGATCGAAGGACTTTTTGTGTTCTTTCACTCAATCACATAGCCACGGCATCAGGGTTGCCTTTCAAAGCCCAAACACCCTATAAAGCAGGCTATTTCATCCAAACGATAATAGAAGAAAGAACAGGTATTGACTACAAGTTAACATGTAATGACTGTGGCAATTTCGTATATTGGAGAAACTGCTAGAACACTGTTTAGTGTAGCTTGAAAAAGCATAAAAGAGTCCTTAGATTGAGCAATCCACCTCATTCAGCAGGAGCAGAACACATTGGATGGGATGATGCCCTTATTAATCGACTTTGAAACACATATCTGGTTAAGAAAAATCTAATAATCCATATGGGTCTAAAGGATCCTCCACTGAATAGGGACTCTGGCTATACACTGTCACCTATCTTGGCGCCGGTGATCTCGAGGCAGCAAACAGCAAGAAGCTGGGTGGAAAATGATTTTGTGTTAGAAAGTCCGAAGGAGTGGATGAAAGCTTGATACTCAGTTTTTAGGTTGTTAGAAGCTGAAATTACACGATAATTTGTTTTAGGGTAACCCAATTGAGTCAAAATCTGTTTTTGCTTTAGGCTAGATAAAAGCAAGTCTATGGTATGTATATTGTCATCAAAATGAGCAATGTCTTGAGTAGCTTTTCACATGGCACCATTTTCCGTCATGCCGTGAAGCTCATGGTACTTCAACATTATTACCAAGGTCATAACTGAGCAGCCCAAGAAACTAGCACTCAAGCATGTCAGCTACATTTTGTACCCATTTACACCTGGATGGGGAGTGGTAAATGTAGATTAACATCTTGCGAATGGACACTGACGGTGGGCTGAGACTCGAACCTCCTAAATTGTGATCTCTGGTCTGGTGACAGATCCACTACAGCAAAACGTCTCTAAAACCAATCGTCTCAGTTGCGATATACATAGCGTAAGTTGCAGCTCGTGATTTAATTATAAGAATGTAACAACCTGACTAAATTGAATTATTATCTACGCAAAGTCCTCAAAATTTGTTTTACCTGCTAGTCTGCATTGTGGCATGGAACCAGTCCATTGTCCATTGTCGCACTCTCTGTCTGCAGTTCCTTCGATTTCCCAGCCATCACTGCAGCTATACCTGACTCTGGAACCATGCACATATCCTTGTACTCCTGGCAGTATTTCAATGCTTCTATGAGGGGACCTCATTGGATGTCCACATGGCACTACATCAAAACAATGTCAAAACTGAAGGTATGAGGATATTATATACAGCCCATACAATAATGCACCACGATTCGGACGATTCAAGTTTATATCATCACAACAATATTCACAAGATATAGTTAACAACTGATTTATTCATACCCCTTGTAAATTTGAGTTTTGGGGGTGTTTTTTGTTTTTTGTAAAGCATAAAAGGTGTACTGGTTGAATTATGGCGTCCGTTGTATACTTTTTAATTGTAATCTATTAGCTAATTAAATTAAATTAAATATGTCACTTTCGAAGAAACATACAAATCAATTTGTCGGTTCTAGGACACCTATCCTCCTGGAATTCACCCCCCCCCCCCGGGTAACCACCACCTGTCAACTACCCCCTCTGCTACAAATAAATACATTTTGACAGGCAATTTTTTTTTGAATATCTCTTTTTGAGAACTGACACGGGGGGTGCTGTTTATTTATTGACTGCTTATTTGTTGGTTGACAGTTTAAAGTATAGCTCCTCGGTGATCTTGAGACTGCACTGTGCTGTAGAGTACAGTTTCGAGATCACGTCGGGCAATAGTTTTAACCGTGCCCCTAAAAGCAGTCAATAGTTGTATAGTAGATAGTGATCATTTTCTCTCAAGCCTTACCTCTCTGACATATTGCAGCTAAGGGTCTGTTCCAGCGACCTTCATTGCATCTTGGTAGTTCTTGGCGTGTACTAAGCTCAAACCCGTGTTCACATGAGACACCAAGAAGCATGTCATGAGGAAAGCGAGGTCGTGAAGGTGTCATATGATCTTGGAGGTCTGGTGCACTGCACGCTCGTGCTATTCGGAGTAAATCATAAAGCATAAAATAAGAACAAAAAACATAATTACAATGGAAGAAAACTTTGCGTGATATTTGGTACTTAGATGCACTTGTGTGTTCTCTTAACACTACTGTGAACGGTTACATTTGGTGGTCATAGTTTTTCAAAGAAAGAAAAAAATTGAAAAAGGAATAGGCAGAGAGAGAGAGAGAGATTGTTGATTGATTTTGGGGTGTTTCAGAATGGTTTTCATTACAGTTATTACGCTATATTTCTGATATTATTCTTAATATTTCTAAACATTTTAAAGAGTAATTTATTGTGCAAAGTTTCAAAAATGATTATTGTTACCAGAGGATTCTGACTTGTTGTACAGAGTGCGTATACCTCTTCTGCTATAATTCTCTGTTTAACAAATTTCATTTATAGAGATTTTGTTATTGTTTTTTGTTCTTTCTCAGCTTTCCATGCTTTCTTAAACAATTTGACGTGAATTGATGTTGTGTCATTTACAACCCATCAAAAATGGTTTGGAAGCCTCAAGTTTGATTTTAAGTATCTTGTATTACAATTAACATTTCAGTTGGTTTTACCAGGGAGGTGAAAGAAAGGAGGCGAAACTCTTGTAATTTATTCAAACGCATTCGTGAGTTCTAAAGCGTAAAAATTGAATGTGTAACATTCCACTTGGCTTTGAAGTTCCATGCTCCGAGCCGCGTTTCCACTGCGGGGAATTTTGGAAACAAGGCACCAGTTTCACATTTATTACAAAATATTAAATTACCGGCAAAATTTCAGTGTAAATTATAAACTTTATATGGGGATTGTATTGGGAATAGTGCATCAAACAATTTTCAAATTTAGGACTCCGTCCTTCCTATAATTTGTGTGTCAGAGTTGGTAAAAGAAAAATTAGATCCTGACAAAAACTCAATATTTTAGGATAATGCGCTAATTGTGCATGTTTTAATGTCCCGTTATGTAATCCATGATTTACAATCTTAGATCACTTTCAGTTTGCTAATGCGAGTTTTCGCGTGTTTTTTTAATTTTTGCAGTTGGAAAAAAGGAGGAAATTACACAAATTTGTGTTCGCTTGTTCTATTCTTTACACATTCAACAGTGGATGAGAAAACATTGAAAGGGACAGCGAACAGTTGCTGTGATACCATTTGCTGATGTAGGCATTCTAAATTCTGAAATTTGATGCGCTCTTTCATCTCACCACCTGGTGTTGCAGTTGCAGATTAGCGCATAACTTTTGAGCGGCTTGGAGCATGGGGTCAAAGTAGAGCGGCTTGATTCCAGTCCTTCTCTATCACGTCCCTGGTTTTACAGTTAAATCTGCATACGAAGAACACTCAAGGGGGCCATGAAAAATTGGTCTTTATAGACAGGTGGTAGCTAAAGCAGGTTTGACTGTAATTTTATTTTTTTTACTTCCACTTCAAAGATGGTCGATTGGAGCTAAGACATCGGAACAGAGGATCCGAGTCTAATATGATATCCTTCAAAATCTATTGCTTTTTTATATTCTCTAGATATTGCATTCGGTGACATGTGAAAAGCTGTGGTTTTGAAGAAAAAGAGGATATACTGTAATGCAAAGTAACACATGAATACATAAATAACAGAAGTATTACCTGTTTTAATACACCTTGGAATGCTTGGGACTGCATCCCCGCTATCACACCAGTACCTAGTGGTGTGTTCTTTCTCAAAGCCATTATCACAATAGAAAGTCATGTTTTCACCATGGTTGTATATGATTTTACCATCTGGCTGAAATCCGCCAGAATATAGGCGTCTAACAGTGCACCGTGACGTTTCTGAAAAGAAAAGACATCAAAGTCTTAGGAAAATCAATCAATAATTGTTAAATACCCGGTAGGAAGAAATTCCTTGAATGCTTGAGCGCCGCACAGTGGGCCAGAATCGCCTCAAAGTGTGACAAAATTCAAAATTGGCGAATGTGAATTTTTATATTTTTTTCATTCGCTTGGGGAAGAAAACATTCTAAAGAATATTTTTCCACCCATATTTTAATATTTAGCGAGTTTTAAAAGTGTCATATACCCCTGCGAACATGGGAAAATCTATATGTTGCTCCAAAAATGATAAAAGAGGCAACGTTACAATAGGTGTTGAGAATTTATGAAGGGAAAAGCAATCAACTTCATACTGCGTGCACTTCTTGCCTATTGGTAACCCAATTAGAAAATACAATGACCAAATTTATGGAAGCTTCATTTTGGGAAAAATGAGCATTAAATTTCACCAAAAAAGGAAAAAATTGCAATTTTTAAAAGTAGCATGTTTATTAGGATTCCGGCCGATTCCCGCAGTGATGTTAACCTCAAAATGTCCGCCCAAACCTAAGCTTTCCATGTACGGTATTTTTTTTTTTTGCCAGAATTTGCAACACTGCATGTGCAGGCGCTTTTCCTCCCCACGTCCATCGATTATTATTAGGCATAATCGGTACACATTTGTACTGTTTACGTTTACGCACAACCGATTCAACGCTCGTCCGCGTAACCATGACAACGGTTACGTGAGTGTAGAGCGTATAGCGTAGTGTATATTGCTTTCACACGTTGATGCAATTCGAAATCATAAATGGTATCATTCTAGGAGAACTTGAATTGAAATAAACGATGGCGGTATTAAGAAGACAGCTTTTTCATGCTGTGCATTGAGCTGGCTTCATTTCAGACATCAAACTGGCATCCGAAAGATCCATTGATGCATAATGTGCATACCATAATGTGGGTAACAAGTCAAACATCCCACAAAAACTTCTCAAGAGTTTGTCAAAGACTATTGGACGCTTTCTGTATCGTATGCGAAAGAAATGGAACAAGTGTGGTCGTTACCAGGAATATTTCATGAAAGAGAACAAAATCGATGTCTCATTCTTTAAATTCATATGGAAAGGGAAACTACATTTACCATATACAATGAACAGAAAACAAGTAGTTTGTAAATACGAAAATAGTGGACTAAAAATAGTTGATGCCGGACACTTTTATAGAGAGACATTTAAAAATGCTCCAATTGTGCGTCTTAGGTCAAGAAACCCCTGAAAAGTTCCCCTAGTCAGTGTCATATGAATCTGTCTATGTGAAACAATGCATTTTGGCCTTTTCCATTCAGAAAACTGTATTTTAATGACGTGAGAGAAATTTGAAAATGCTCCAATTGTGTTTCTTAGGTCAAGAAACCCCTTATAAGTTCCTCTAATCTATGTAATATGAATCTGTCTATGTGTTACAATAATTATTTGCCTTTCCCAATCAGAAAACAGTATTTTGATGACGTCATAGAAATTTGAAAATGCTCCAACTGTGTTTCTTAGGTCAAGAAACCCCTTATAAGTTCCACTAATCAGTGTAATATGAATCTGTCTATGCGTTACAATGAATATTTGCCTTGTCCAATCAGAAAACAGTATTTGAATGACGTCAGAGAAATTTGAAAATGCTCCAATTGTGTTTCTTAGGTCCAGAAACCTCTTAAAAGTTCCACTAATCAGTGTAATATGAATCTGTCTATGCGTTACAATGAATATTTGCCTTGTCCAATCAGAAAACAGTATTTTAATGACGTCAGAGAAATTTAAAAATGCTCCAATTGTGTTTCTTAGGTTCCAGAAACCACTTACAAGTTCCACTAATCAGTGTAATATGAATCTGTCTATGCGTAACAATAGTCCAGGCATTTCATGAAAAAAAAGGGTCAACCTCCCACTAATTGCAACAGAAAGTCTGTCAACTGTTTTATACCCAGAAATATGTCCTCTATAACATATCAAAAGTCTTAAGGAATCCAGGTGGGGGAAAGTGCCATGGCGGCCATTTTTTCAAAATGGCCGCCATGTACACTACTGTTGTACAATTCTGGAGATTACTTTTTAACTGCACCTCATTTTACCATGCGTAAGGTGTCATATGAAAGACAATTACATTTCCTACAAGATGATACCTCATTCAATAGGTTTCAAGATGATTTGCTTACCAATTTTGAGCCAAAAGTGTGATTTTTTTACCGTTTTTTTCAAAAATATGAATTGCGCCAAAATACATATTTCTCCATATTTATTTGATTATTATGCTAATCGACTTAAAACTTGCTGAAAAACTGTTCTGCGTCCTGTTTGATATCATATCCAAATTTCAAGTCTATTACTTTTCTAACTTAAAAGTTATAGTGCTCTTAAGTTGACACTTTGTTATGAGCCAAAATGGCAAATTTGGTTGCTAAGGGCTATCTTCTCCTTAGCAACGGTAACATATTGGCGTGAGAAATAGAATATATCACGAGAAATTGCTATCACCAAGCAGATGACTACTTTTAGAGGAAGTATGATGTCAAATGATGCATTTCCATCCTATTTTAATGATAAATATCGCTTAGTTCCCGTTGCTATGGTAATAATATGCCTAGCAACCGATATAAAACACATATTTTTGTTGTTAATCTAATATTTTCCATATCTCTGCTTCTAAATAACATAGAGTTTTGATTTTAAGTGCTAAACATACATTTCCAGGGACAAGGAATCAAATAAATTAAATTTTAATGAGCTAAACCTAGCCAAAAAGCCGAAACGGCAGCCATTTTCCAAAATGGCCGCCATAAACCTGATATTTCCAATATCTCCGCTTCTAAATGACTTAGGGCTTTGATTTTCAGTGCTAAGTATACATTTTCTGGGGCTAGGAATCCAAGGACACACATTTCAAAAAGCTAAACCTGACCAAAAAGCATTATTCTGAGGATGTGTCAACTATATACCATGGCATGGCGTATGCCTGATGGACAACGTGCATGTATAGGTCATAATTATTATAATACTGCATGTAGTTACCATAACCTCAGACTACCATATTCGATCCATGAATCTTCCTCAAAAAGTATATTCATCGTCATCACTGTCACATGCATCTTGGGTTGACATGCTGGCCCTCTACAGTTGCCACATGCAGCTGAGCACTCTATGCTCTGCTTCTTGCAGGTGCACTTCAGACTGCTGCAGTCTGCCTGGCAGTTGCAGCGGATCATCTTGAGGAGCTCTTCCGGAGCTGGTGGCAAGTCCGTCTGCACGGGCACGAGTCCTCAACTGCTTTCCCGCCAACTCCAGTCATCTGGTCGTAGCTCATCAGCTGCAATGCCCTTCCACTACCGGACCTGGTAGTAGACACGAAGGCTGTGGTGTTTCGCTGCTGCTGATGTTGGCGGTAGACTCTGGGTTTGTACATGAGAAATGCTGGAGGCGACCTTCTGGCAGAACCGCTTATGTCGCGTCACTGCTGCTTCTACAACATCATCGGTGGACGCTGTCGGTCTGTCAAACACAATTGCTCGTTCACGGAAGTGCGCACTGGTTTTGAATTTGTGAAGGGAAGCTTCCTTGCCAATGCCATACACGCGGGAAGTAGTATCACATCCCACGAGAGCGTGCATGAAGAAAATGTGCTGTGATACATTGGGCCTAACTGCTGTTTGACAGACTTCATGTTCTAGAGACGCAGTTTCTTCAAATTCTTCTTTGGCTCGGGTTGGAAGAACAGGTCACATGACTCGAGGTTGGTGTGGTAAATGAGCAGGATGAGTAGATCTGTGTTATTTCCGATCAGCACAGTATTCAGTGGTGGCTGCAGACTCTACTGCTTTCTGCACTATGAGGAGATCAGCGTCAACTGCAGCATGATGTTTCTGGCAGTTCTTTGCCCGTAGTTTGGTGCTGAGCATGTTGATGAAGTGCTGCTTATTTGTCTTGTTTGCCAGGAATTGTTCCTCCTTCATGTGGTCTGCATATCTTCATCAAACGTCACCGTTGCTCCAGCATTCCCTCTTGCACGTCTTTGGTGTGATGTGCCCTTTGTTGATGTACCATCATATCCATCAAACACGACTGTTTCCTGTCCATACTTCTTTGTGACATACATGTACTCTGTGTATTGCCTGCAGATACCTTTGTATGTTGAGCCACGTGCCCATGGAATGCGCTGAAGGCTGAACTAGTGCCCCACCATCCAACACGTAGTGGACTTGGTCTGTGATTCCTGGTGCATCCTTTGTCAGGAGTGTCAAGATAGCATCTGCTAGCACTGGCTTCTGTAGCTGTCGGAGCAGCAGTGTGGAATCTAACAGAGCTGATGGGTTACTGCACAGCTCATATTTGACCACAGACTCTAGAGCCTCTGTAGCTTTTGCAGCAATTGTCAGTCGCTGGAAAAGCAGCTGGGGATCCACTTGTACTGCCTCACCATCAATTTTTACTGCCGATTTCGAAGCCAAGGTGATGGCCTGATCCTTCCTCTTGAATGTGTAGTCAGCAGCAATTTGTCCATTCATGTTGGTCAGGATTGCTGTTCCGACAGTTTTTGCTGAGTCCACATTGACTTTGCTGGTTGCATGTACCCCTGTCGAAATGCTGTGCAAGCTCGGATCTGAGCTGAAAGGTGTTCTCTCTTTCAGACAGCTGATAACTGCATGTGTGTCTTTCATGTCACGTGCTTGTCTAGCATTTGTCATGTCCTTGTTTTGTTCACCAGTGTTATAGTTGACACTTGTGAGCTGTTGCATAGCATTGTTGACTTCAGCACAGACAGGCATGGAGAGCAGCCATATGAGACGCTGTTGCTCTGTCATGCCTTGCCCTCTCGTCAGGCCACCGCTAGTCTTCATACTCCTCATTAGGACCTGTTCGATGGTGAGATCTACGGACAGACCAGCCCATAGGCGATCACTTCTCCTGACAACATGGAACCTAGCTTCTTCGAATCGTTGGTACACATCTGGATGTTCATCCTTGAGCTTGCTCATTCGCTGCACATAGAGGTGGATTGATTTGGTGTAGAGGTTGTGCCCAGAGACTGCCAGGTAGGGAAACATTTCTAACACAGCTTCAAGGTGCAACGCCCAGTTGCCAATGCGCTCTGCTCTAATAAACTTCCGTAGTATGTCAACCATCTCCATACTGTAGCCAAAGTGTGGCGGTCCTACAGGACTTCAAGGATTCGGTTTTGGCCCGGAGGAGCTTCTTGATTCTGGTTAAAACATCAGCTTGGCAGAACTCCTCTGCAGACACAGAACCTTCCATCAGATTCTTGTAGAGGGCAGCAAGTTCATCAAGATCAGTGTTTCCAGTTCCGTTTTGTCGTAGACTTATCATCTGGTGACACTGTTGCCTCATTGGTCTCCTCAACTTCATGTGGATCTGCAGATGGTTGAGGGAGTGGCACACCAAGTGCGTCTAACAAAATCAAGGCGTTCAGTGCTGCATCAACAAGTAGATGTCCCCGTATTGCTCGTGCAATAGCCTTGCTTAACATCATGTGTACCACCGCGTTGTCTGCATAGATTGCTTCCCAAGAAACTCATTTCTGTGTGAAAGCCTCCCAGGCGCAAAACTATGTCATTCAAAACACTTCCTGTTGGCTCAGTCTCGATGCTCATGAGGGCTTTCCACCATAGTGGTTGGTCAAAGGTGATGATGGGCGTAACACCATGCCGACAAGCATGCTCACACACAAACTTCAGTGTGGAATAGATGCAAGTGACATCGCTGAGATTCATGTCGATCATTGGTGAGGTGAAAATAACGGATGTCTTCCACAGGAGATCAAGGTCTGCTGTTAGGTCCTTTGCCTTCATGTTGACCACCTTCTTGTATGTCAGTGTTGTCATACCGCGGCTCTCTTCTTTGTGGTAATGGATAGGAATTCATCCCACCGTGGAGATATCGCTGGAGGTGACCTGCGCCCTGAGGGTAGGTCTGCTTATCTTGGTGCCTGGGGTTATGGCAGCAATCATTTCCATGCCATGGAATGTATTGTTATCATCAAGGGTAGGGATGTTGTGGTCTACATTGCCTGCAGCATACTGGACAAACTCCGAACTGAAATCAGGTATGTCTGTTCCATGAGACATCACAGCATTCCGTTCAAAAGTTTGAACTTCCTGACAGGAGCAGCTGAAACCAAGATTGTGGAGGGAATCAATCAAGAAGCGTGATGCAAATTGATGGTGCATTCGGATCCCAAGTCCAATTCTGCAGTGGAGCCAGCAGAACTTGTGGTCGGGCTGCTTGCATAACTGCCTGCCCAACTGAGGCCGTCTTCATGAGCACATTCTTGCGGACAAACAATCCTCCAAGCAGTAACCTTAGGCTTTCTGGCAGGAAATTGATGTTTTCCTCCTCCGACAGCATGTCAGGGTAGAGCTCATGTGATGTCATGACACTCTTTATGTCATCTCTGATCAGTTAAGCTGCAGTTTTGATTATTCAGGATCGGCAGCCTGTGCATGGCCATAAAGATCTTGGAGAACCACCTTTGCTGTGGTCCGGAATGTAACCACGTTTGGCTTCCCATTGACCTCTGTTTGCAGGATTTTGTCTCCAAAGTGATTATCCAGCGTTATCTTGTGTGTGGCCATATGCTTGAAGCCCTGATCCATGGAGATTCTCTTCCATCAGGCTAACTAGGTCACTGATTTTTATCTGCTCATCATCATTTTCCTCAAGGAAATGGGCAACTCTGATAAATGCATCCCCCTGTGTTTCATCTTTGAGCCGACCAAGTTTTTGTTTTTTCCCCTTTATTCTGTCAGGCTGATATACAGTGGGTATTTCCTTGTTGGTGCGGAAGTTAACACTGCAGACCTGGTGGTACACTGCATTTGCAGCATGAAGGTCATGCCCATGAAGGACCCGGGCTTTGACTGTTTCTGCCCAGGCATCCTTCCTTTCGTCAAAGCCCACATATTGTCCTTGAATAATTATGACCTATACATGTACGTTGTCCATCAGGCATATGGCATGCCATGGTATATAGTTGCCATGGCTGCCATTTCGGCTTTTTGGTCAGGTTTAGCTCATTGAAATGTGTTTCAAAGAATTCCTGGGCCCAGAAAATGTATATTTAGCACTGAAAATCCCTAAGTCATTTAGAAGCGGACATATTGCGAAATATCAGGTTTATCGCGGCCATTTTGGAAAATGGCTGCCGTTTCGACTTTTTGGCTAGGTTTAGCTCATTAAAATTTAATTAATTTGATTCCTTGTCCCTGGAAATGTATGTTTAGCACTTAAAATCAAAACTCTAAGTCATTTAGAAGCAGAGATATGGGAAATATTAGATTTACAACAAAAAATATGTGTTTTATATCGGTTGCTAGGCATATTATTACCATAGCAACGGGAACTAAGTGATATTTATAATTAAAATAGGATGAAAGTGCATCATTTGACATCATACTTCCTATAAAATTAGTCATCTTTTCAAGTTCGGAAGGGGGGGGGGGCAAATCACCAACAGTATTACACGTTACATGCCGGTCCCACGGAACGTTTTTCAAAATGGAGTATTAACGATCAGGTAGAGCGTAAATTGGCGTGGGGTCCAGGACATGAGCCTTGGCAGGGGGTCAAGGGGCTGAGCCCCCGGAAGCTCAGGTTTTTTAAGGTATTTACTTACGGTCGGATGAGCATCCAGGGGCCGCCTTAGAGCCCTTGGTGGGGTCCAGGGGCAGAGCCCCCGAAAGCTCAGGGGTTTTAGGTATTTAATTACGGTCAAATGAGCATCCAGGGGCCCGCCTTAAAGCCCTTGGTTGGGTCCAGGGGGCAGAGCACCTGGACGCTCAGGGGTTTTAGGTATTTTATTACGGTCAGATGAGCATCCAGGGGCCCGCCTTAGAGCCCTTGGTGGGGTCCAGGGGGCAGAGCACCCGGAAGCTCAGGGGTTTTAGGTATTTAATTACGGTCAGATGAGCGTATCGCTATTATAAAGCCCTCCATTGATAAATACCGTATAGGTGGCATGTATTAGGCATGCGCAGTGTTTATTAAATTTAATTCCCGTGAACTTTCCTTTTCTTTGAATGGAATTTTATATGTAATTTAATTCAGGTTTTTATTATTGTTATGTTCTTGGGTTAAAAATACAAAGCATGTTTACTCCTGTACTGCTTTTTTTTTTTTTTTTAGGAGGGGGGGCGTTTTTTTTTTTTTTTTTTGGGGGGGGGGGCAAAATGCGTTTTGCCCCCCCCCCCCCCCCACTTTTTTGTTTTTTTTGGGGGGAACTGCCCCCCTGACCCCCACTTCCGGCGCCTATGCATGTCATACATGTACATATAGACAAAGCTTGGCAACAACTAACAAGTCAAAGGAGCATTAACTCTATTTAGAATGATGTGAGTTAAACATCCTTCTGGCTCCAAACAGATGATATTTTACGAGGTAAAATTTCATATTGCAAGTCATTAAGTCAAACATAATACCTGCTGGAGTCTCACATACTAGTCATTAGCATTCTCATAATTATAATGTTTTAAACACCAGGATAGATAAAGGTGTTGTGGTACCATGAATAAGTCTCCTGACTATGAACAACAAGGTATGGTTTCGAATCCCTGTTGCAGCTGTTACACCATTCCACTACAACACCACTGTACATCTAATAAAATCCTAAGATGGGGAGGCATTAGGACCATGTATTTAAACAAAAAACAAAATAGGCCTATGTATATATGTATATAAATCAGCCGATATTTATCCCTTCATATCTGAAGAAACATGAAGGGATGTTGATTTCAATAATTTGACGAAAATTACAATATTTGTTTTTTGGAATCCATAAGGACCCTGTATATTTACAGGGAATGTTGGGCGGGTTGCGCATGCTTAATATCATGAATTAATGTGCGATTGGTCACGTTGTATAGTACAAGTCTTGAAAATATCGTGATAGTCCACTTACCGCCATTGACGTTCTGAAACAGGCAAAGAAACAGTCCTATGAACAGGAGTAGATAATGATAACTCTTTCCCTCCATTGCTTGTCGATGTACTAGACTCTAGCCTCAATACTTCCTTCCATGTTCCATTTGTAAAGAAAGGAACCGTATTTCTAAATGTACAGAATAGGCGTGGCCACGCTCCGAACGATGCTCGAAGATGGAGAGTGCTGATTGGATAAATATCATAGGAGAATGTGTCAATCAACATATGTGTTTCATATCCGTCAATATATACATTGCTTTTATTCCATGCATTGGGTTGAAGTTAGTCGAGTACGCAGGATTTTTTTCAAGGAGGTTGTTTGAAAATTGAAAATCGCGCCAACCGATATTTCAAATGGTTGCATGCTTGTTGGACTCATAGAACCTGCCAAATATAAGAGGGAAATAATATTGATATATCTATGAATATTTATAAAAAATAAATAGTATAATGTACAGTAAGCCTACAGAAATACATTTTAGAAAGTAATTGGGACCGAGTTGATTTGTGTGAAGAGGTTTGGTTTTCAATCGAAATCGCTCACTGCAGTGAAGTAGCTATATAGGGGCGAATGCGACCTGATCAGATGGTGAAAAAGGAGAGAACCCGAGAACAACAAATAAAGGAGATAGAGGGATGAGGACATAATTTCCTGCAACAAACCATACAAGATGATACGATCCCTTTAAAGTAGACATTAAATATTGATTTAATTTGTATCATTGCAAAAAGGAAGGTTAATTCGAACAAGGTTATCGAAATTGTCCGTCTGTTAAAGGGTGATCTCTAGCAATTGTTTTTGTTATGATCACGCCACTTTCATTTTGAATTAATTTATGGAAGTGTTGATTTTACAGAGGGTAGAAATGATTAGAGAACAGTGTGATTCCATGATAAACCATAACATTCTATCTTTCCTTTTCTTCTCTATACCGGGCACAATAACAGGATTCACTTCCGCGGAGATTGTCATCTCTTCCTAACTCAATAACAGGATAACGAGAAGTCGATCACTCTTGATTTCTTTCCGGAGAGCAAGGCCTATTTATATTATGGACATGAGTGAAAGGTAAAATATATCAAAGGGGGGCATCTTTCCCGTAAAGAATTTTGAAATGTGAGAGCAAATCAAACCAAACATCAGAACAGAAATAATCATATCAAAGCCGGGCAGCTATACTTATTGGATACAGTTAATGTAGAGGAGATTTGGGCAACGAAAAGGAGAGGGAGATGAGAGAGAGAGAGAGAGAGAGAGAGAGAGAGAGAGAGAGAGAGAGAGGGGGTGGTATAGGGTAGGGAAGGGAGGTGGCAGTAGCCAAAATGTGCATGGGGCGATTCGTGCATAACATCTTTTAATTAAGTATTGTTAGTATAACTATTCAATGATATCAAAACCAATTATATATTTTATCAGTTTGATATAATAATTACCCCTCTTTGACATTTTGAAATAAAGTAGACGATTTAATCACCCACCCCCAAACCGACCATATCATCTCATGCTTGCGAAGGCTATAAAACCAATGTGGGGATTTTCCCTATTTTTTGTTTGTTTTATTGACCTGTAACCCGGGATATCCGTTGTACTAGGGATATTTCTGGCACGCATAAGAACTAGGCCTATATCATAGCAAATTTTGTTTGTTAAAACCTGGTGCAATATTTCACAGAGTCATGTAACGAAATGTATGTGAATTTTAAAGAAAAAACGTCAAATCGATCGGTAGAAATTCTTTTTAAAATTTGCGGGAAAAACATGGTTCTGCATTCGGTTTCTGCTCGAAAATTGAACTGAGCACCACTTTTTAATGGATGAGTTTTTTCTTCCTTCTGTCAGACTTAAAGCCAAAGGATGCATTTGTACAATGATTTGATTTAATTTGAGTGGATTTATTTATTTCTCTTCATGGTCTTTTTCCAAAATTAGAAACTAATTACGACATAATCATGCATCGTTATTGAGATACCAAATACGGCCAAGCGAAAAGGTCATGAAAACATTGTAAAGCGTATTTATTTCAAGTATACACGTTATGCGCTATGCGGAAGTATAATATTATAAAACGATACCAGTGTCTGGTTTGTACAAGGTAATGGATATATTTCAGAACTTAATAGGGATCGAACCCCTAAAAAGAACAAAAATAAACTATTCGATATTCGAATGCATAAACATCAAGCTAGAATATGTGGCTTCTGAATGCTCGATACCGGTCATTCAAGATTAAGTTCAAGATTCAAGTAGTTGTCCTAGAGGATGGTTGTCGTTGGTGGTAGTTGTCCGGGGGTAGTTGTCCTAGAGGATGATTATCGTAGGGGTAGTTGTCTGGAGTAGTTGTCCGGGGGTAGTTGTCCTAGAGGATGGTTATCGTAGGGGTAGTTGTCTGGGGTAGTTGTCGGGGGGTAGTTGTCCTAGAGGATGGTTGTCGTAGGGGGGAGTTGTCTGGGGTTAGTTGTCCGGGGGTAGTTGTCCTATAGGATGGTTGTCGTAGGGATAGTTGTCTGGGAGTAGTTGTCCGGGGGTAGTTGTCCTAGGGGGTAGTTGTCTGGGGGAAGTTGTCTAGGAGGTAATTGTCCTGGGGGGGGGTAGTCGTTCTAGAGGGTGGTTGTCCTAGGGGTTAGTTGTCTGGGGGAAGTTGTCCGGGAGGGTTAGTCGTTCTAGAGGGTGGTTGTTCTAGGGGTTAGTTGTCTGGGGTAAGTTGTCCGGCAGGTAGTTGTCCCGGGGGGGGGGTAGTCGTTCTAGAGGGTGGTTGTCCTAGGGGTTAGTTGCCTGGGGCAGTTGTCCGGGAGGTAGTTGTCCCGGGGTTAGTTTTCCCGGGGGGTAGTCGTTCTAGAGGGTGGTTGTCCTAGGGGGTAGTTGTCTGGGGGAAGTTGTCCGGGGGGAGTTGTCCGGGAGGTAGTTGTCCCGGGGGTAGTCGTTCTAAAGGGTGGTTGTCCTATGTGTTAGTTGTCGTGGGGGTAGGTGACTGGGGTTGTTATCCGGGGGGGGGGGTGGATGTACATGGGGTAGGTGTCCTAGAACCGTTTATGACCATAACCATATAGACATCCAAACAATTATACAAAATACAATAATGAATATGAAAAGGTCCTGTAGAAAAGCAAATTCTTGGGAGCCACAATAATTCAGTGTTTTATTAATCATTTATTGGGACGTGCATAATAATACGCGAATAAGATAAGGTCATCTAACGATGCTATACAAAAATGCAGTAATTACAAAGCACTTATTGGAAGAGGGCAGCATAACATATAAATACAGTGTTCATTTTAAGTTCTTTGACAAGTTAAGTGTCAATCATCAATTTTCAATTCATTAAAAATTTATTTATTTCAACGAAAATCCGATCATACGTCGCAACATAAATTCGAATTGTGCATTATTCACAATCAAAATGATAAACGTTAAAACATGACGAGAAACATACTTACATGTATACGTTCAAAATAATTGTTCACATAGGTGATGGTGGGACATAAAATAGTATACCATAATATAATTAGAAACGAAATAAAAAGAACATCACGAAGAAAAAATATATGCAGTCCTTAACATAACAACATCATTTTCTCGTATATATGATACAGAAGTTACAGTCAGCGTGCGAATATTGTGATATGGATAATTATGAGAGAGAAAAGTGTTATACTCTGCTGTATAACTTGTAGACGTATTTGATTATTTGAATGTTTCCATTGTTTGACGATCCTCGCTAAAAATAGATTCACCACGTCAAAATTGATAGAATTCATTCGTGTGTGTTTTTATATGAATAAGATCGACTTTTCAAGACATTTCATCGAGGCAAGGATTCTGTTGTACGAAGAAATAGTGACCGATAAAAGAGCAACGAATTTTATACTGCAAGTTTTCGTTCTCGAGCCCATGCATTTAATTATCATCGAAACCGCTTTCGAAATGTTTTATTCCGGTTCATTTTAGGGAGATATATGAGAACGTACGCGCCAGGCTTTCTTTTTCTTGTTTTTTTTACTTCATTTATCAGGTTTATGCATATCATCGGAACACGAGCCCAACTATGGTTTGGGGGAGGGGGGGGGGTGCAGAAGGTTGGTAAACAGAACCGAAGCCGAATGTGGTTGTATGGCAGGCCCTATGAGAACCCACTAGTCTTTCGACAGTGCCTGATCCGTTTTTGTGTCGCAATCAGCTGAGAAAAATAAATCACCCTCAACGCATAGTTTTTTCTCGACGGGTGTAATTTTGGAGTTCGCGCGATTAGTCGAGATATTACGCTCTGTATGAGATTCAGGTATAGAGCGGGGGGAAAAGATCATTACAGAAAAAAAAAATATTTAAAAACGAACAGAATCTGAACTTAAACAGTGCTGGTTGACAAATGAGGACAGAGAGGTCCTAACAAATAAATCATCTTGCAGCTAGGTACGCTCTATCCACCCGGTTACAATGGCAGTTTCCGTTTCTTTCCTCATTCCTAACTTTTTCTTCCTACCTGTTTTTCTCCAGATTACCTTCCTTCAACTTCTTGTTTCTTACCTTCTTGCCTCCTCTTCCTTTTTTAAATTTAATTATTATTCCTCATTCTCTTATTTTCTGCTTTCTCTCTCCTTTCTCCACCTCTCCCCCTTTTCTCCCCTCCCTCTTTTTTTTTTATTTGTTATTGTTCTTTTTCTTTTTTCCCCTCTCTCTTCTTATTTCATCTCCTTTCGTCTCCCTTTTCCTTCTTTCCTCCTTGAGTACTCTCTTTCTCTCTCTCTCTCTCTCTCCATATCGCTCTCTCTCTCCATCTCTCTCTCTCTCTCTCTCCCTCTCTCTCCCCTCTCTCTCTCTCTCTCTCTCCACCCCCTCTTGCCCTACCTTTTCCATCTTTCAATCCTTTCTTCAAAACTGATATCGACGCGTCGCCATCTCATCTTCCCAGAAGCAAATAACATCTTGCAAATCCATTCTATTCTGGTTTCCAATGACTACCCATAGACCTGGTCAATGACCAAGCCATCAATGATTAGCAGAAGAGAGTGAATGTTATTCGATGTGATTCACATAATCTGGTAATTCTTTTGATTGGCTGCCTGTGGTCACGTGATGTGGTGTACGAGCCTACCAATAATAGTCCTAGAGCCATTCAGGA